AGGACAGCATCTTGGTCGCATATAAAATTAAAAAAAAAAAGTAATACAATTTTATGCTGATTTCCTTTCAATGATTCTGTATTATGTTTTCTCCAATTACTAGTATTTTAATGCGTACATTACTCTTGTAATAATAATGAAGATACAGAAATCAAGAATTATCCATGACAAATGCATGTCAAGTTTACAGATTCTCAAATCTTTAAAACGCATAACTTGAATTTATTTGATCATTTGAAACCTTCTTACCTGGTTCCAAGCACCCTTCTATATGATTACATAACTCTTTACTGCAGTTGCACACTTTCTGGCAGTCTGTTCCATACGATGGATAGTAACACGCCTCTGTACAATTTACACCAAAATATCCTTTTTCACATGCTGAAATTAAAGGTAAATTACATATACAAAATTATCAAAAGATTTATTTACATCAAAAATATTTAATTCAATACGATGGAAAGGGTGTAAGATAACGATTGGTGATCGAGCTCATAATTGCATATACAAAGATACCACCGAAATACGGCTGAAATACTAGTATTGCATTCCGACTCGGCATTAAGCAGTAAATAATCAATCTATTGAAAAGATCATTTGCATAAAAGTTATTAAATCAAACATTTAAAATAAAAACTCTGGGTCCCGTTTTACAAAAGAACTTACGACTAAGATCAGAAAGTTTTTATGCAAATAACTTTCCTTTTTACATTACTTTGAAAATGATTTTAATCTTTTTGAAAAGAATTTAGAAAGATATTTTTATGTAAACAATTTCTAATAGAAACGTTGGTATTGTAAGATTTTAAAAGCAACTTAAATTTTTTGGTTATAGTCGTAAGTTCTTTAGTAAAACGGGCCCCTGATTCTGTTCCTTACGAATGCATTGTTTCTGAGTATCATCCCATTTGTAACCACCACAGCATTTCCAGTTCCTGTAACATAAGTTTGGTGTAATATATGTACTTTATACTTTCAACTTCTATAGTGTTCATTGCGCATAAAAACTTGGCAAAAACATTCCTTTTACAAATGTTCGAGCAATTTGGAAGCTTTTGAAAAATAAACATGGGATTTTAGTATATCGATTTAAAACACAACTTTTGAATTGTGTATCACTTCGATAACAGCTATTTTTTTAATAAATCCATTTCCTTGAATTACAAGTGTTGATAGTGAATTGTAATTGATGAAGTATGTAGGTTGTCCCAGAAAAACGCCAGCATTATCAATATTTCATAAAGAAACCTGCCCCAAATGTATTTATTTTTTGTATATTGTTGGGGAATAATATATTCGTCATTTTGACCAAATAGTTTAAGGTTTTAATGTCATATGCATTGATGTGATCAGCATTTAAAGGGTGTTAAGGATCGGTGGCCGGGGCACCACAATATTTTGACTTTTAAAAAATAGCATTACCAGTGTTGTTTTCTTTGATATAATGTTGTACAGAAATATGTGACAATATTTCCATCCAAAAAAACTTCATGATCTGGGCTACTAATGTGGAAAAATTCATCAATTTGACATCATTAATGACAAAATGTAATGGTATATGCATAAACATTTTCGTTAGATATATTGTCACAATGGCGACGTCAGGCGATAAGGCGCACCAAATTATCATACAGTACTGTTTTGAGCGTGATATGCCTCCTGTTCATACAGGAAAAGAAATGACAAAATGACACAAACACGTCTTAGACACTGGTTTACACATAGTAACAGCTAGAGGTTCAAGGATGGCTGGACTGGTTATCCCATGGAAGAGGCTTTTGGTGTTGGACGTCATATTTGAAGACCGCCGTTTAACTATGCGAGCAGTTAGGTTAACGATCGGTTTTGGGAAATACGGTTTTGGTAACTCTAGTATTGCGTAATATAGTAATTCGGTAGCTAACAAAAAATCAAATAGCACGGTGTTCAATTTATAAATGCTTCAAACGACATGTAAAGTCGAGCGCCACTAGCTACTTTTGACATCGTCAGTGTCGGCGACAGCTCTATTTTGTAATGAGAGAAAAATGTTACTGTATTTATATAGATATTTTAATGATTTTTATGTAGTATTAAAAAAATGTTGAATATGGTACATGCCAATTTTCAACTTTGTAATATTAAAGAAACAAAACATATTGGAAATGTTCGGATTTTTGTGGGACAACCCTCGTACAAAAACAGTCAAGTATATTTAATGCTAGATTTCATTTTAAATTTTATAATTAAGTCTGCGGAACATTAACTGGCAAAATTGGAAATATACAGCTTACGTCATTTCCATCTGTTACAATCAAAACATTTAATGATAGACAATGAAATGGGCGGGTACAATTGGACACGGACGTCCCTGAAAACATTGGATTGAAATTCTAGTTTGAAATTCATTTTCAATCCACCTGAGCTGTTTTCAAACGCAGAGTGTGAATGTATGATCCAGAAGACAAATAATTTCAATTCCCAAATGCGTGTTGTTTAATTAATTGAAATTCAAATTTATATAAGTTTTTTAGCCTATAATTTTAAGGACACGTAAAAGTCATAGAAGACAGGGATTATTTTTTCAGGGGACGGCCATTTGATTCTAGAAGGGAGGGGGGGGGGTCAAAAATTGACGAGTCAGATCATGCCTTCACATGACAAAATATATTTATTTCTAGAATGACAAGAGCTATTCTCTTTAGTTTTTGTCTTCACAGAAAAATGTTTGACAGTTAAAAACAGGGAGGGGTTGTCCAAACTAAAAAAAAATTTCTTTTTTATTTCCAAGATCGTAAAGCCCCCCCCCCCCCAACACACGCATGCACATACCAAAGAGGAATGCAATGTTTGTCCCTTTTTATTTCTTTAAAAACACTGGACAGAAATTCTGATTTATATGAATTTCAAACTATTCCTAAATTGAAATTGTCTTCCAGGTCAATCAGTAACACCGTGATTCTAGCGTAGCTGGGGTGGATTGAAAATGATCAAACTAGAATTTCAATCCAATGTTTTCTCGGACGTCCGTGACGAATTGTACCCGCCCATTCCAATGTCTATCATATAAGCTTTGATTGCAATAAGCTTCATATTTCCAATTCTGCCAGTTAATGTTCCGCGGTCTTAAACGTATATGTAACAGGATTAAAGAAGACTACTCAATTGTCATGATTTGACTCTGATTCAACACAGTCATTCTTTTTTTTTAATCATAAAAGCACAAATGCATAAATTGCAACTTTCTATGCACGAGTAAACGAAGCAAGACGTCCGATTGAACGATGAGCGAAACGGGAAAAAAAAAAAAGAATAGAACGCTTTGAACAAGACTTCACATATATGTTTATCATGAAATATCCCCCTTGTAAACTACAGTTCGGGGTCTTTACATATTTCTATTATATTAAATGAAATTAAAAATAAATTTATAATTTGAATAAATAGGCACCTGTTCTAAGAAAATTCGGAAATATGCAAAATGAATCCTTATGAAACTCTTCTCTTTAGAAAACTTAAATTTCTTACCCCCTACAGCTTTTTGCGCCTTGTGCTTTGATTAGTTTCGTTCTTCTAGAAAATGTAAATATGAATAAAATAAGAAGCGCAATTTTCAAGCCATTCATCTTCTATTGACGACTGTCGAAACCTCCATAAGGGAAATCACATATGTTTAAAACCTGAAATATTTCCTCGAATTCAAAAAATAATTAAATATTGATGCAAGTGAAAAAGAGAATCATAGAATGTACATGACATTTAAATTTTATTTTAGAGTTTATATTGTGTGCATTTGATGGTGACACGTGTTATATTTCTGAAAGCATCCCATTAATTAAACAATGTTCCCTTTCTCTCCGAGCACCGATTTCTGTGTTTGAACTTTGTTCGGTGAAATTGTTCTGAACAATTACATGGTCAAACATGATATACTTACATGTACAGTATGATTCGTATAGTGCCTCGATTTTTTTCCTCCATTATCAGGAAATTATTTTATGTACATATAAATATACAAATTACGTTTAAAATTATTTAAACCTCCGGAGTCCATATTAATAAAAACTGAATGAAAAAGTTTAAGATAATGAACAGTGATTAATCTTATAAATATTATAAACATATGAATCGTGAACATGGGAAAAAAGCACGGACCCCTGAAACATCATCAGCGGAATGGGTCTCCTAAAAGGAGTAAGCACATCTTGTCGTGAACCCTCTGTATCAATTGATCAGAGTAATCCCTTGTCAAAATTAGTTGAAATTAATGGTCTAACAATTAGTAACATGTCAGTCTAAATAACGTTATAATTGCAAACAAGATCATTATTACGACCATACAATTTGCTGAATGCTTTGAAACATCAACTTATTTGTCAGTAGCCTATCTCAGCTTAAAAATAATTGTACTTGGGTGTTCTTGTGTATTGAATCAGTTGAGAGACGTAAATAACATAGGCTTTTGATAATGGAATTTTGCTACATAAATAGAGAAGTAGACAGTGGAAAAGCTAAATTGTGTCGTTTGTCTTATAGTTTATTGTTAGTTGGCCATCAACAACTATGATCTGTAAAACATCAAAATATGAAACAGGTGTGTCTGAATCTGTTATCAATTCAACACACTTATATGTGTGAATGAAAATGAGATAGATAAATGTTAATTGATGAAATGCCGTCCGTATTGATTTAAAAAAAAAAATTTCAAATTTTCTAAAAGTTCTTTTGAGGTTTTGAAGTCCACATTTGAATTACACTTCTTGATCGTGTTGTAGCACAGTAAGTCTATGATTCTCTAACACAGAGGTTAATAATTTGTAAAGAGTAAAGATAGGGGCTTAATAGAACATTAATAGGACACTACAATACATCTTTTATGAAGATGTGGAATCCAGAATCAAATAATTTTCATTGTGTGGAATGCTAAAAGTATTTAAAATATCCTTTGAATGTGAACTATGAGTGAGTTAGATTACTTAGATTACTAGATTCGAATTAAAGCCTGGTTCTCCTATGATGCAGTTGTAATTATGAGCCATACCAACTTAAAACAATCATTTTCAATCATTTTAATCCATTTTACAAAATTATATGTACAGTCTTTCATATCCTTCACAGTCCTTCATATTTTCAGTATCATCTTCTTCTGTCCCTGTATTTATCTCTACTACTCTCCCTATCTCTATAACTGTCTCTTTCTCTACTCCTCCTCCTATCTCTATTTCTCTCAGAATCTCTATAACTGTCTCTATCACTTCTCCTGTCTCTATCCTCATATGACCTCTCTGATGACCTGTGTGAGGTTGAGCTATATTTATCCTCCCTGTGTCTGTCTTCTCTATATTTAGACTTTTTAGAGCTGCCCCTCTCATCATCTTCTCTATTTCTTCTCCCTGGTGACCTTGACCTGTTTATGGGACTCCCAGATTGTCTGTTCTTTCTCTGAGGACTGATGGATCTACTTCTTTCCTTCTAAAATAAATCAATCACCACATGTACAGAGTGCAATCTATCTGTTACTACACTCTAATACATACTTCTTGCATGCACTTCTTTAATTAACACAAAAATTTTATTCTAATCCCATATGGAAAATAAATTAAAGTAATAAATTATTTAAAGTATGTTCCTTACAAAAAATACATGTATACGAAATATCTCATTAAAACATTGAATACATTTGTATGGACAGCTATATATATTTGCAGTACTGCAATTTTAGAGTAAACTCTATTGGAATTTATAGGGACCTAATCCAGTCTGTTAAGCTTTTGGATAAAAATGTACAGTTCTTTGTTTAGAGATTCAATATGCCAAGATAAATGGTATTCACCACAGATGGAAGCATATCCTGAACTTAAGTGTAACATTTATTTTCATTACTGACCTTTTTCTTCCTATGTGATTCACCGTCACTTTCACTTCTAAAATCCAGTCTGTTAAGCTTTTGGATAAAAATGTACAGTACTTTGTTTAGAGATTCAATATGCCAAGATAAATGGGATTCACCACAGATGGAAGCATATCCTGAACTTAAGTGTAACATTTATTTTCATTACTGACCTTTTTCTTCCTATGTGATTCACCGTCACTTTCACTTTCACTTTGCCTTCTGTCCTTGTGTTTCTTTTTCTTCTTTGATTTCGTTTTCTTGTCACCTTCATCATCATCATCAAAAACTAAATCATATCTACTTTGACAAGGTTAAGAGAAGTAATCAACTGTCACAAATTTGCAAGTAGCAGCAGTAAAATTATTCATAAGAATGCAATGAATAATAAACTGTCATTAGCTACAATCTACTGTCAGAAATATAAGTAGTTTTCTACAAACTTAAAACCTAGAATCAAAGCAAACTCAAGCTACAATGTAGTGTAACAGGAGAGGAGAAAAATGTGATGGACCAAACCTGGGCCCCCTGAATCTCCAGTCAGGTGCTCTACCAACTGAGCTATATGGCCACCGGCGATCAACGCATCTGACCACCACACTAGAATGGCAACACTGAAAAGCATATTAAACATAATTTGTTTTCTTTAGTGGTCAATATCTGAATTCCTCATAAAGTGTTTATAATTCTAAAGTAAATGCATGCAAAAGAAACATTTTTTTTTTAATAAACATATTATACATGTATCTAAGGAATGACTTGATAGGCTTAGAGATCAGCTTCAGAGTTTTGCCAAAAGGATACTTGTCTTGTCTAGTGGTCCGATCCCTGATGATATATTTTTCCTTTAACTCGTCTGATTTCTGCCCATCTTTACCTGTACATGGGAAAAATGTTACAAATATTTAAGAAGGAATGAACTATGTTTTGTAATTATGAGAATTTTCTAATACAAAAGATTCAGGTACATATAAGTGAAATTCAAGCAAACTATGTATCCCAGATAGAGCAAGATTTGAGACAATTTGAATCAATACGCGGGTACGTTAAGGCAGTACACAGATCATATTTCGGCGAATTTAGACTTTTTTCATAAAATGTAACATTGATAAATCGGAAAAGCCATAGATAAAACATTTACTATTATTATCCATTGTATAGACATCATTGAGTCTTAGGCTAAAAGAAGCACTCCACTACGACATCATCACGTGACGTCTATAAATAGAAAAATTACCTTAATGAAAAAGTGAAAAGTTCAACACTACCCCGGGGATAATTCATTTCTTTTTGTGAAAATAATTATGTAAAAACATCACTGGACCATGAAAAGTGCTGCTAGAATCCTACTCTCCAAACACAGAAAAAAATATTCCAAAGTTTCGCATCAAACCTTACCAAAATTTTTACATTTTATACATACGATCAAGGAATTGTCATCAATTTATGTTAACCACACGATTCTAGCAGCACTCTCCAAGTACTATAGAATACAAGCTTTCGATACAAACAAAAATTATGTTTCACAGTATGCGGCGTAGTGTTGAACTTTTGCATCTTTGTTGTTATAGAGCGACAGAGGAAAGGCTGATCGGGATCTCAAAGCACTGTCTGTGTTCATTACAAGAAAACATGATAAGAATATATCAACGTACCTGATTCATAATATTTAATTCCTTATGAATCTCACATAACATCCACGGTATATGCTTTAAAACTCCCATTTCATATATTTGTTTACATGAATTCTCGTCACGTTTCATTTTCACTCGGCAAATATTTGATCAATAGTTATGACGTCATGGGTTTGGTATTTAACCCCCGTGATAAATACTTAGCTATTTATACCACTGAAAAACGACAAGATTTAGTTCAAATTATGACGTCATAGTAAGCTGTATGACGTGATCTTTACAAATAATGATTTCTTAATATCTATATTTAAAGTTAAATTTCAGGTCCAAGAAATGAATGGAATCATTCAAAAACATTCATATTGTAAAGGCAAGTAGGATATCTCTGGGTGTAGCCTTAACATACCCGCGTAATGAAGATAAAAATTCAATACAAAAACATAGTAATTAATGTAAGAAGAAGGTACGGTTTTAGCTTTATTGTGCCCTAAAAATTTAATGTTTTCAAAAAGTTTTGAAACTGGCTTAAATATTAGTTGAGTATATGACTGTGATAAATGATCAGGAAAGAATAGGCCATGAAGAAATACCATTCTGGAAATATGACGTCATTAATTTGATGCATTTCTCTATTTTAAACAAAATGACTCAAAATGACTCATTTCAAGGGTTATATTCCTTAAGAAAATAGTGTCCACAGCCGTGGCTCACTTTAATTTTCAGATATGTTGCGTAAAATTCTTTGAAAAATCTCATATCTCAAAATCTTTGTGGGCGATGCCTGTGGACAATATTATCTGAAAGAAAATTCCATTGAAAATTGATGTCTTCTGCAGCTTTTTAAGAAAATACGAGAAATTGCACAAGTTTATGACGTCACAATTAGCATTTAGAAGGTCATGTGAGAAAAATGATTTGTATGATCTTTCTGGGTGGAATTTCAATGATTCAGAAAGCATGAGTTTTAATATTTTACATCACTTTCATTTTTAAGAAAAAACACAGGGCAAGATTTGTATTGAAACCATACCTTGTTCTTTACGTAAATTTAGTAATTTTCGAATCACTTCTCTTATCAAAGAGTTATTACTTCAAAAGTAAGAGTTTCTTTTCAAAAATAGTATTTTATTTTTCTTATTTACACCTATAATTCCAGTATTACTATCATAACTGCATATATATTGACACTATTTCATTATAACTAGACCAAACCTTTATATCTAAGTTTGGACACGGACTGGCTGAAGTCAACATGTATCCTGCGGTCATCAATCAGCACGTTGTCCATCTTGAAATAGGCACTCTCACAATCTTCTGTCTGATAAAAAATAGAGTTTCAATAATACTGTTTTCCTTGTTATTTTGTTCTCTAATTTTATGCTATTTCTACCAACACATTAATGAATATTTGAAGAGTGTTATATTTTTGTCACTTTCTTAAGATTTTCTCCATAAGGCTGTGTGGTGGCTATAACATGTATGAAGAAATTCTTTTACTAACCTTTTCAAACTCTATAAATGCGTATTGTAAGGACTCTTTGGTTTTATGATCTCTTATCACTTCACAGCTGAAATTAAATGAAACAGTTTTAAATTCAATGTTGAATTTGTCGAGAAAAAAAGGACTTTGAAATGTTACTTTCTGGTTAGCTCCCCTTTATACACTTTCCACACCAGTACAAATCTTGTGTCAATTTACATTTTTAAAAAATCATTTTTAATCCAAGAAATGCACACAGGTGTATTCCATCTGATCTGGACCCATTTGTTTAGATTTAGTCACAATAAACTGATTTCATTCTCTGTACCTTTTTATTGTTCCAAATCTTGAGAATATGACCTCCAGGTCTTCATCTGTTGTGACAGGGTTAAGTTTACATACAAACAGAACATTATCTTCCGGCTTCACTTCAGCATCAGGGAGATCACCAACCTGTCAAAAAAACAGCCACAGTGTTATTCGTATAACATTGATATGTGACATAAAATATAACATAGATAAAAAAATTTCTGTAAATAAACTACCATGACATGTGCACTGGCATACTGTACTCTCTTTTCATATCAGTTTTGATTTGATATTTGTTCCAAATTTTACTCCCGAAATAAAGGGGTGGGATAGGGTAAGGGTGGAGGGTTATGTTTGTCGACCTAAATGATTAATATTCCAAGTCAATAGGATTTTACAAATATTTGATGAATAAAATAAATTCAACATTTAATGAATTGATTTCTAAATATTTTAAACAATTTCTTGAATTAACTCCTTATTAGTTTCACTTGATATGATCAGACCTGTGTTTGTTCTTGCTAGTAGGTAATAAATGGTGAGCATGTTTTGAGTGTGTTTAGTTTGTTAACTGGAAGTGAGCAAGTTTTAAGTGAATATTCCATCTCAGCAACTAGAGTTAAATAGTGATGAGCCTATTTGAGTGTCTTCAGTTCAGTAACCGTGGAGTGAGCAAGTTTTAAGTGACAAGTGTTCCAGCTCAGCAACTAGAATTGAGCATGTCTGAGTGTACTCACTTCAGTAACAGGGAATGAGCAAGTTTTATTGATAATGTTCTATAACAGTAACCAGAGATGAGCCTATTTAAGTGTGTTCAGTTCAGAAACTGGGCATGAGCAAGTTACAAGTGACAGTGTTCCAGCTCAGCAACAACATGTGAGCATGTCTGAGTGTGTTCAGTTCAGTAACTGGGCATGAGCAAGTTACAAGTGACAGTGTTCAAGATCAACAACTAGATGTGAGCCTGTTTGTATGTGTTAATTTCAGTGAATGGGAATGAGCAAGTTTCAAGTGGCAGTGTTCAAGCTTGGCAACTAGAGATGAGCCTGATTGAGTGTGTTGAACTCAGTAATGGGGAATAAGCAAGATGAAAGTGACTGTGTGCCATTTCAACAACTAGAGGTGAGCATGTATGAGTATGTTTAGTTCAGTAACTGGGAATAAGCAAGATGCAAGTAACAGTGTTCCATTTAGCAACTAGATGTGCGCATGTATGAGTGTGTTCCAAATCAGTAATGTTTTGGATCTGATCCAGCTGTGTACCTGAGTTAATAATCACGTTTTAGTTCGTTTCAGTTCAAAATCTAAGATTTATGATTGTTTTAGTTTGTTCCACATCAGTAACTAAGAGTGACCATATTTCAGTTGTTCCAGCTGAGTAACTTAAAGTGAACTTGTTGAAATTTAAAGCTATTCTATCTCTGCTTTCGGGAAGCATGTTTTGATTTTTTTTCTTACCATCTCCAGAATCTGGGCATTAGCTTTGGCTTCTTTTTCCTCTAACACTTCCTTCACTTCTTCTTCTGTCATTCCCTGGTAGTCATCTATCTCTTCATCTGCTCCTATCCTCACTGTCTGTAAACAGGTACATCAATCATAAATACTGATCATTTCGTATACATGTACTTTGGAAAAATTCCATACATGTGTATGTTTGGAGAAGACATATTTCATTTACAATTAGAGATTCCAGCAAACATGTGAGAAAAAATTCAAAAGGAAAAAGTTCAATTTAATGGTAGATCTTAATTACTAATTTAAACAAATAAATTTGTAAGAATCACTTTATAAAATATCTTATAAGGTGTATAATGAAAGTGTGTATCATTGAAAAATTATGCAGGATAAATTTACAATGCATAATCAGTCATTTAGATAAGAGTCAGTGATACACTTACATCCAGTTGTTCCTGTGTGGGTTCTGGGGATTTGTTTGGAACTTCCAGTCCATCTGGATCATCATATGGATCATCTAATATTACTGTGTGGTATATCCTATAATATAATTTATGTTTATCCATATTAATTAAGTCGTAACAAGGGCAATGCAAAATGGAAAATTCCCTCATAACATGATTTCATTTTAAGAACAAAGTTTTTCATGCACTGCATTGACATGGTGTTCACAACATTACACATATATTAAAACCAATCATTGTCCCTTATTAACCTTTGACCTTTTTACACTGAAATAAGGGCCAGTAATATCCCACAAAGAGTGGACAACGATGCTAAGTAGATTGAATAAGGAGAAAAAATTATAGGCATTCTCCAGTTACACTCCCTGTCAATTTATTTGTAAGAAAAACACACATCACAATAAAACTTAAGAAATGGGAAATGAATTAAGGCATTTTTAAGAAAACTATCAGATTTTTTTCAATATTTTTAGTAACCTGATATCTTTATAGGGTCTGTTGTCTTCATCACAGTATGCCTCGTTAATTTTCATAAGGACGTCCATTCCCTCAGCTACCTCCCCAAACACTGTGTGTTTACCATCCAAGTAATCCAGATTGTCAGCCAGAGTTATAAAGAACTGGAAGGAAGATCAAAATTCTGATTTGTTACAAGAGTATTCATACCTATCATAAAAACCATTTTTAATGTCTATGATACTAAATTTATCCTTTGCCCTGAGTTTCAGTAATTTAGAAAATCTTTTGCACCGATAGATTTATAATGTTTGATTTTTTAAAAATTTATTATGGTCTGTTACAAGCGCTATCAATTTGTTTTCATTACCTGAGATCCATGCATGTTCTGACCATTGTTTACCATGGATACCAAACCAGCCCTGGAATGTTTCATGCGAGGCGTTAGTTCCATCTCAAAAAATTTGGCTTGGTCTCCATATAATTTTCTGTTGATGAAAATCATTAAAGAGTAAACATAATTAACAATAACAAAAAATGCATCAAAATTTTTAAGTTTTTAATAATAAAAGTTTGATCACTCTGCACAAGTAGTACAATTTTTCTCAAGACACTCATTTGGAAATAATGAACCAATTGAAAGAATTTTAAGGATAAAGGGTTTTCCACAATCCACCTACCCATAGACAGATTCCCCTCCCTTTCCTGTTCCTGTTGGATCACCAGTCTGGGCCACCAGGTTTCTCTTTAAATAAGTAAATGAACAAAACCATATTATTATGAGCATAATTTCTATCTATTGATTAAGCAGGATTGTCCATAAGAATTAAATAACAGGGGACATTTAAAAAGTAGAAGAGGATCTGGGGTTCCGGCTCCCTTGACAGGGGGATGAGAGGGAATACCAGAATAACCAAGGTATTACATCATTATAAGTGGGGAAATTCCCCGACCTCCTGGTCTAAGGTACAACCCTAATTAAGATACACATACACTCAAATACCTTGGTTCTCCCTGGGTTTTTTCTTTAATATATATATTTTCTCATCCCAATTGAGTTTTAATAATGAGGTCTGACTGTACATGATTCCTCCTTACTTTCATATCACATATTACAAATTTGTGCATGGCTAGAAATTATATATATTTTTCAAAACATACAGGGCTCAACATTAGCATTTGAAATTTGTCAATCTCCAGACACATTTGTCTGTCCAGGCATTAAGTGACTTATTGTATCTTTTATGGAATATTGTAAATGTAATTGAAAAATTCCACACAAAATTCATTTCATATTGGATTTTTTTTTTCTAAATTGCCAAGCAGTTACAGTCTTAAAGGGCCAGTCAATCATCAATGGAAATCATTAAAGGAAAGTGCAATCAAGATAAGGTTACAGAGAGGCTATACTGTATGTATAAAAATCATTAAAGTTTTTTTTTTTATTTTCATGATTAAACAAATTAATTATACTACTTCATTCATGTATGAATTAACACAAGTTATCCCTACATAGCAGCTAGGCTAGCATATCATTTAAGATAGTAGCCCTGTAGCTGCTGTGATCCTGAATTCAGCCCTGAATTACATAAATTTTATAATTTAATTTGTCTTATTTCATTAAAATCTGTTTCATTTCTGCATAAAAAAAATGTTCCCATTGCATAAGATTAAGATGTTTCTTTCAAGGCCAAGTTAAATTTGTTTGAAACATACCTGTACGGAATAAAATAGGCAAAAATTGTAGTACTTTATCTTGCATAGCTTTAAGAAGTTCAAGCAACCTACAAGAATAAATAATTGAATCAAAACAATATGCATAATTAATGTAATGCTACTTGCAAGACAATTTTTTATACAACGCAGGTACCTGCTTAAAGTGATCATATTTTTTATATATGTTATATAACTTTTTTTTTAATTCAAATGAAAATTGAAAGTTGAGACATAATCTCATTTCCCCAGTTTTCTTAATTTTTTAAAATAGAGGAAATTCGAGAATTAAAGTTACAATAGATTCGTGTTAATTGAAGCTTTATTTACTTTTTTAACACATTTACTTACATCGTGGTCTTTCATCAGTAAATAAATCAATGGTAATCTCCCCGAGAGAAGTCTCTAAAATAACTGACATGGTGTTTATCAACTTTTGTAGAACGCGAACGACTTGCTATCGTTTTGTGGAACTCTTTAGTGCTTGGAGAACATTTCAGTCTTGTTGTTGTATTTTTTCGGTAAAATTTTGAAAAATGGCAACTGAAACTCAAAATACGGATGACAAGAAAGAAGAAGCAGGTGGATCGAGTGAAGAGGCTTTTGATTCATTTTATCAAGAGGTATCTTAATTCTGACTTGAGAAATAGACTAAAGTTTGTTTTAATCCGAATTTTCTCAGTTGAACAAACAAACCAAGATCTTTTCATAAAAGTTCATAAGATAATGCAATGAATTAATTAATACAGATATCATTAAATTTATGTTCTTATTTGATTTTTGAAAATTAAGTTGTTGATAATGACAATTAGTTCAGACCGATGTACATGTACCTAATGTTAAACACTATTTTTCAACTTACCATGCTTATTTCACTTTTAATTGGCTATGATTTGGTTAAAATCTTATCATAGAACTGCTTTCATTAAGACTCATACTTGATTTTTTATATACAGGTCAAAGCAATTGAACATAGAGATTCAGTCTTAACTTCAAAACAACAGATCGACAAACTAAGCAGACCAGGTTCTACATACTTCAACCTCAACCCTTTTGATGTAAGTACAATACTTTTACAATTTTACTTAAATAATTTTTAAGCATGTTTCTCAACAGCATTAAGCAGAATATAGGTTCCTATAAATATTTGCCAAAAATAGTTTCCTAAAACAGCTGAAAGTTTAATAAATTAGGATCTACATTGTAGGCATTAAGGGACATTGAGGTTCGCAATTAAACTGTAAAATTGAATATCACATTCAAATCTTGTGAATTACAAAATAAAAAATTTTTGGTGGATACTGAGCATTATTTTTAGTAAATCCTATATCACTTAAGAGATACATGTACACTTCTAAAAGAGACAAATATAGTTGGTTAGTAGGGTAAATGAATTTTTGAAATTGCTGACACAAACATTGGCTCTACAAAGTGGAGCATCCCCTTGCAACAGAGCACATCAATCCTGAAATTTTCACATAAACTCATCCATCCATTTACGCACTCAAAAGCATGAGAATATATATCCTCAAACTTCATTGTGAAAGGATAATAAATACAGAAATTATAGCTATACAATTGATTGCAGCAATACTTACAGTAATATGGTATTCTTAACTACAATTTGTACATTTGCTTTGTTTGATGTAATGTTTATGTTACCAAGTTTTATGATGATTTGTTCTGGCATATTTCCATCCAGTAACTAACATAATTTATTTAAATTTGATGATACCATATTAATTAGATCATGTTGGATAGAGTTAAATTGAAATATGTACTACACATATCTGAAATTACTTGTCTGATATTTTTTTAGGTACTTAATATTGATCCAGATACCTCACTTGCAGACATTAAGAAGAAATACAGACAGGTAAACATTTCTTGGTATTCGTAGGAACTTACTCATTTATCATGCTTATTGTAAATGTAACAAACATAACACCAAAATTTAGCAAGTAGGAAGGCAAATCATTTATACATTGTAGGTACAGGCTAAATATATTTCTCAGAAATTTATAGAGAGAGAAAATAGGGAAGAGGAAGGGAGCCCCCCTCACCTGTTTTCATTGTTAAGACCAATATTAATAGACTGTGTGATATTTTTTTTTCATCCTAGATGTCAATATTGGTTCATCCAGACAAAAATCAACATGATCTAGATAGAGCACAGAAAGCATTTGATGGTAAGTTCATTAAGATTTCCATTTTAGTAATTAGTTAGTCAGAATTTAAAAAAAAAACAGAAAATAAACAAACCATATTCTTCTTACTGTACTGTAAATCAAGTTTTATTCACAAGATTTTTATTTTTGCCTAATTATGCTAGAAGAGACTGTCTGCTTTCGAAAATTTCATTCTTGAATACACATGTATTTGTATTAAAAAGGATTAGGTACACATAGCCAAATTTCAAGAAAATTTTGGTTAGCTTATATGAAATACAATCAAACCTCACTATCTCGAACTTAAAGGGAAAATACTTCGAGATAACTGAGGATTGGAGATATCCAGGGTAAAATACTAAAGGAATAAGCAGTTGGGACTTAAAATGACTTTGACATATCCATAGTATTCAAGATATCTGTGTTCAATATACAGATCAACTGTACCTTTCTTGTCAAAATAAGGTGTCACAAAAATTTTGTGATCTACAGTACCTGACAATTTGTTCTAAAAACAAATTTGTTGCCATGTTCTAATCAATTAATTAAAAGCAAGCACCTTCACAACACTTTACCTTTTATGGAATGTGATTAATGTATATATGACAAGATTATAAATATTTGCGAGTCTTACAAGAATGGCAGATAACAAGAATAATATATATTAACATTCCATGGAAAAAACAAAAAAACTCAAATCCTTGTCACAAATTTTACACGCCTGGCTCTGTACCACACTAACTTATCTATGAACCACACGGTAACCTTATCATCTCATTTGATACAGAGGCCCCAATTGGGGAGAAGAAATTATAAATATTTGCGAGTCTTACAAGTATATTTTTCAATGATTTCAGCTGTGAACAAAGCTTATAAAACATTAGCCAACGAGGAGGGAATGAAAAGGTGCCAAGAAATTATAGAGGAGGCAAAATCCAGGGTGGAAGAAATGGTAAGTCATCAAGGCAGTCACAGGAAGAAATGCTAAGTCATCAAGGCAGTCACAGGAAGAAATGGTAAGTCATCAAGGCAGTCACAGGAAGAAATGGTAAGTCATCAAGGCAGTCACAGGAAGAAATGGTAAGTCATCAAGACAGTCACTGGTAGATCAGGGTATATGCTGAGTCATTTAACCAGAGGCCTGTTCAACAGAGCGAACGTTCGCGAGCACTCGCGAACATTTCTGTTGGTTACTTACTTACTTACTTAGGCCTGTTGTTCCGTGAGGAACATAGGCCATCGACGACAGTCCTCCAACGAACTTGATTCTGGGCTGCTTTTACTGCATCTTGCCAGGTCATGTCCTGTGTCTTTAGCTCTGACTCTGAGTCACGCCTCCAAGTGTTCCTTGGACGTCCCCTTTTTCTTTTGCCCTGTGGGTTCCAAGTCAGGGCCTGGCGTGTGATACTGGATGGTGGCTTCCTTAGCGTGTGTCCAATCCAGCCCCACTTCCTCTGTCTGATTTGTATGTCCATTGATTCCTGTCCTGCTCTTTTCCATAGTTCTTCATTTGAGATCCTTTCAGGCCATCGGATGTTGAAGATGCGCCTGAGACAGGTGTTGTAGAATGTCTGGATATTCCGCAGGGTTGCTTTGGTCAATCTCCACGTCTCTGCACCATACAATAGGATGGACTTTACATTGGAGTTGAGAATCCGCAGTTTGGTGGTAATGCGGATGTTCTTTGAGGCCCAGATGTTCTTTAGCATGGTAAATGCAGTTCTTGCCTTGCCAATTCTTGACCTGATGTCACGGTCTGTGCCACCCGTCTGTCCACCACACTCCCCATGTAGATGAAGGACTCCACTTCTTTGATGGGCTCACCACCAACTGTGACTGGTGTTTGGGCAGTGGTGTTTATTTTCATCAATTCTGTTTTCTTCAAGTTGATTTTGAGTCCCGTTCCTGCTGATGTTGTTGCAAGGCGAGTTGTTTTATCCTGCATCTGACTGTGGTTGTGCGAAAGGAGAGCCAGGTCATCGGCAAAGTCTAGATCATCAAGTTGCGTCAGGAGTGTCCACTGTATACCATTGTTCCTGCCTGATGTGGTAGTCCTCATGATCCAGTCAATGACCAAGAGAAAAAGAAATGGTGACAGCAAACATCCTTGTCGAACTCCTGTCTTGACCTCGAAACTCTCGGACATCTGGCCAGCATGGGCAACCCTGCATATCATGCCTTGGTAGGTATTTCAAATTAGGGAGACTAGCTTCTCTGTTACTCCATAGTGCCTCAGTATCTTCCACAATGTGTCTCGGTCCACGCTGTTGAATGCTTTCTCATAGTCGATGAAGTTGATATAGAGGGGGGACTTCCACTCAAGTGATTGTTCAATGATGATGCGCAGACTGGCTATCTGGTCAGCACATGATCTGTTGGCTCTAAAACCAGCCTGCTGGTCATGAAGCTTTGGGTCCACTGCCTCTTTCATCCTCTTGAGAAGTATCCTGTTGGAGAGAAAAACCTTGGGAATGTCATGATTGAAGTGATATTTATTAATTATATTTTTGTACCTGACATGCTAAAAATTTTAAGGATTCTCATTTTTCTCCAAAATAGCCTGAAATCTTGTGTTATAAATATCTATTGTTCACACATTGTCACCACTCTCTAGTCATAATCAATAAAATCATATTATTGTAATTAATTACAAAGTTATGCATTAGTCATTGTATTTTTACTTGCAATGTTTACATTCATTTACATGTTAAGAGTTAAAAGATTCCATTAAACCAATCATAGCATAAATTTATTACACTAGGTCAAATTCGAAATCAAATTTAAAACAAATCCTGCATGTATTCCTATTTGTCTTTCATATTTTTTGTTTTATATATATATATAGGTAATATGAATAAAATGTTATTTGTTTTGAAATTTATTGTTCTTTACATGTACTGTAAAACCAATGGAAATATCGTGATACATATCGTATTGCCATGCAAATATCGTGATATGTATCGATACGGCAAACACTGTATCATCCCAGCCCTAGTCAAATTAGGTCTGAATATGAAACCAGTTCTCAGAAATTAAATGGCAAGGTGTACTAGCTATAAAGCAGACCCAAGATAATAATAATTTTAAGGCCAAAAATTTTATTTTAATAAGACGCCAAATAAACAAATTATGAAATCCTTGTTTGGCAAATGTGTACCTTAAGGATGACACTACAACAGATGGTTACATTTAAAACATTCAGATATTGTGAAGTTCTAATTTCCACATTAAATAGTTAATGTCTTCTAATACCATTTATGATTGATTTAAGAGTGCATTTTGGCTATTTCTTGAAGCATTTTATAGAATCAATTTGAGGTTCATAAATACATATCTTTCAGATAAAAGCCAAAAGGAAGCAATTAAAAAAAGAAGGAAAGAGTACAGATGTACCAGAGGATGATCCCGAAAAGGTTTGTTTTCTAAATTAATAACTCAATTTTTTGTTTGCTTTTTCCTATAAGTCCTGTTTTAGTGTGAAATCCCCAGTCTTAACCAGCTTTCTCTATATTTATCCAGTTACAAATATCTTATTTGGAAAATTAGAAAAAGTGTGAAGTTGAATATCATGTATATTTCAAATATCAGATTATAGCTAAATTCTTGGAAATAATTGTTTCCTTCACATTATAACTCTATATTTTCAGAAGAAGCATGCAGTGTATGTTCAGACCTGTAAGTTGTTTGCAGACCTTGAAAGAATGAGGCAAGAGAGAGAAATGAAAGACATGCATGAAAGGTTGGTATTGATTTACATTGAAATTACATCCCCTAAAGCCCCACCCCACCCCACCCCACACACACAAAAGAAAGAACAATCAGTTTACCTTGATTTATATAAAACTTCTAAACATTGTACCAAAAATTTGAAAGAGTTTATGGCTGAATTTTGTAATCAAGAATAATTACATGTACTGTGAACATGATGTTATTCTATAAAGGTAAAGGATATAGTAAAAAGAAAAATCCCTTAACATAGAGAACTTTGTCTTTAAGTTAATACTCTATAAATGCATTTGTAGAAAAATATATACTGTAGATCACTAAATTTTGTGACAACTTATTTTCTTGAGATTGTTGTTTGGTATTTACAAGCGAAACAGAATTTTCACGAATATTGATTACTGCTCTATAAAATCTTTAATAGTAGAAATATACATTAGAATGAAATTTTGAAAAGCAGTTGGTTTTGCGTAATTACACAAAAATAAAGTTATGAATAAAAATTGATTTACAGTAAATATAAGCTTGACTGTTTTTGAGATGCAATTTTTAATGCAAAGGTTTATATATCATCTCTTATGGCTTCTTATGACAGAAAACGTAAAGCAGAAAAAGACGCAGAAGAGGAGGAGACAAAGAAACGAGAGACAGAATGGAAGAAAAACTTTGAGGTGAGAAGAACTTACTGCCATATACAGTTGAACTTCAGTATCTCAGACACAGATATCTAAAACATGTAAAATACCATGGATATGTTGAAGTAATTTGGAAATCCTATCCATTTATTCTTTAAGTATTTTACCCTCGATATCTGAAATCATCGGATATCTCGAAGTTTTTTAGCTCACCTGAGCTGAAAGCTCAAGTGAGCTTTTCTGATCACCCATTGTCTGTCATCCGTCCGTCTGTCTGTCCATCCGTCTGTAAACTTTTCACATTTTCAACTTCTTCTCAAGAACCACTGGGCCAATTTTTACCAACTTGGTACAAAGTATCCTTGGGTAAAGGGGAGTTTAAATTTTTAAAATGAAGGGCCAAGTTCCCTTACAAGGGGAGATAATCAAGAAAAGACAAAAATAGGGTGGGGTCATTAAAAAATCTTCTTCTCAAGAACCACTGGGTCAAAAAAGCTGAAACTTATATGGAAGCATCCTGGGATAGTGTAGATTGTAAATTGTTAAAATCATGACCCCCAGGGGTAAGGCGGGGCCACAATAGGGAATCCAATTTTTACATTGAAATATGTAAGAAAAAATCTTTAAAAATCTTCTTCTCAAGATCACTAGGCCAGAAAAGCTGAAACTTATGTGGAAGCATACTGGGGTAGTGTAGATTCTAAATTTTTCAAATCAGGACCCCCGGGGGTAGGGTGGGGCCACAATAGTGAATCCAAGTTTTACATTGAAATATATAGGAAAAATCTTTAAAAAATCTTCTCAAGAACCACTGGGTCAGAAAAGCTGAAACTTATGTGGAAGCATCCTGGGGTATTGTAGATTCTAAATTGTTCAAATCAGGACCCCTGGGGGTAGGGCGGGGCCACAGTAGGGAATCCAAGTTTTACATTGAAATATATAGGAAAATTTTTAAAAAATCTTCTTCTCAGGAACCACTGGGCCAGAAAAGCTGAAACTTATGTGGAAGCATCCTAGGGTAGTGTAGATTCTAAATTGTTCAAATCAGGACCCCCGGGGGTAGGGCGGGGCCACAATAGGGAATCCAAATTTTAGATTGAAATATATAGGAAAAATCTTTAAAAATCTTCTGAAGAACCACTTGGCTAAAAAAGCTGAAACTTATGTGAAAGCATCCTTGGGTAGTGTAGATTTTAAATTGTTCAAATTAGGACCCCGGTGGTAGGGCGGGGCCACAATAGGGATCCAAGTTTTACATTGAAATATATAGGAAAAATCTTTAAAAATCTTTTTCTCAAGAACCACTGACCAGAAAAGCTGAAACTTATGTGGAAGCATTCTGGGGTAGTGTAGATTCTAAATTGTTCAAATCATGACCCCTGGGGGTAGAGCGGGGCCACAATAGGTATTACAAGGGGGGAAATCTGGTATAGAACAGCATGGCCAAAGTTTCTCAGGTGAGCGATGTGGCCCATGGGCCTCTTGTTTCTCGGTCCCATGGAGTTCAAGATAAGGAGATTCAATTGTATATTGATAAACTAATATTTTCCCTTAATAGACTTAACACTTGTAGTATATCTTTTTAAGAATTGACATACAGTCAAACCTCGTTATCTCGAACTCCATGGGACCGAGAAAAAGCTTCGAGATATCCGATGATTTGAGATGTCGAGGGTAAAATACTTAAAGAATAAATGAATGGGATTTTCAAATCACTTCAACATATCCATGGTATTCAAGATATCAGTTTTTGAGATACCGAAGTTCAACTGAATTTCTATAGTGTATGTTTTGTGTTATTTGTTGATGATTTAGAAAGTTTAAAAATGAACACTTTAAGAAAAGCAAATTACATGTATAAGAAATTTATTTATAATAGCTGGTTCCTCTAATCCTATACAATCTTTTTGGTAAAAATGAATTGATAAACATTATTGGTATTTGCATATTATAGGGAAATCTAATAATTGTCAGTATGATTTTGCATATGACAGTGCATTATTATTTGTATTATGAATAATTGTTACATAACATAATAACATAATGGATGGACAAGGTACCATTTTATTTTTTCTATGGTTTAAGATTATAGAGTACTACTAGTAATCAAAGACTCATGGTTATCATAAATGTAATTTCTAAACATCAGTTAAGAAAAAGTTGCAGTATATAATACAGAAGTTAGCAAGAATTTATCTTAAGGGCCCTCTATATCCTGTACACTAAAGAGTTCCAAATCCATGGTACATGTACTTTTTGTAGTTAGAGTGTTCTGCCCTTCAAATTAAATTAAACTTGAATAAACTGATACCTACTGTTTTGTACACATTTTGTAATCAATTCAGGTATTCTTATACATGTACTAGACCAATATGAAGTAATTGAATACTTTATTTGGGTGTGTTTTCCTCGTTTAATTAAGAGAGTAGAGATTTCTTGTCTTTAAACATTTTTCCTGGGGGAGAATGACAGGTACCCCATACCCAATGCTGAAAAAGAAATAGACCAACTCAATAATTTTTACCTTTGTACCTCAAAGTCCAAAAAACATTTTTCATTAGTGTATAGAGGGTCTTAATCTCCTTTTTTTTCCCTGATAGGAGAGCAGATCTGATCGTGTGGACAGCTGGAGAAGCTGGAAGAGTGGGGGTAAGAAATCAAAGGGGACGTTCCGACCCCCCAAACCCAAGGCAGAGAAGCGGTAGTACATGCCCCGAGGTGTTCATATGTCATTTTATGTTGAACATTTGTGAGAAAGTTGTGATTTGTCTGCATACTCATCATTTGCAGCAGAAACATTTGTTTGAATCTATTGATGTATCTTTGAAATTATAGTGCGTTAAAAATGGCTGTTGATTTCTTATATGGCCATAGGCTGTCTCATGCACAACTCAAGCTGATTTGTTTATTTTGTTTATGATGAAATTCTTACATGGGCAAAACAACTTTTTAGAGTGATTTCACACTTGAAGATGCATGTGTATTAAAAAGGAATTCACAATCTGAATTGCTGAATTTCTAAAGCATTATAATACATTTACAAAGGTATGAATCACTGATTTTTTATTTAGCCAGATACACATCGGTTGTTAAAGTTCATTAATTAGTACTAAAGAAAAGAGTAAAAATTCACTTTTGTTAAGTTTTATTGGTTTCAGTGAACAGTTTTAAAATCAACAATCAATACCTGCAACTAGGATGGAACAGATAAATGAAATTCATTGATAGCCGAGGTATAACCCTACCATGCCTTGACATTTATGTGAAACTTTTGTAAAGCTCTTTATTTTTAACTGTACTTTTTCCCAAAACTAATCAGTGTTGCAAGATTAAAATAGACCTTTGATTGATGATAATTAAAAATCAATATGGATGTCTTGAAGCAATTTTACTTTGTGCTTAACGATGCACTTCCTGACAGTAATGTTTATTTTGGTGATTTTTCTGCAGTAATGGTACCGCTGTTATTTTAAAAATTACCGTTTACAATTAGAGGCTTTGAATGAGGGACATATATGAACAATTACTATATTTGTCAACTGTAAAAAAGTTCAGAATACTAATATCATGAGAACATACAGTATTGATGTTTTGAGTGTTAACTGACTCTTGAAAAACACACATTATGATGAGCTTTATTGGTCATTTTTCTGTATTAAATGACTCTGTTACAATATATAAAACAGCCAATTTATTTCAGGAAAAAAATTCAGGTATACATGTAATTCATGTGTTTACAGATTACATGTACTTTAATATCAATATTTTTGCATGCAAGGAGTTGTCATTGATTATTCATCTGAAGTTCATTAGCATAAAAGAATCCATATTGCATTGTATTTCATATTATGTCATTCAATTCCATTTTTAAATCATTTATTATTAAAAAAAAAATCGGCCATTGAAGAGATATACGGTATATATTTTAAATCAATATTAAGTATATTGGTTACAGAGTATAACAAACAATTTGTTGTTTACAAACTTGTCTAATGTAGTGTTTTCCAACCCCCCAAAAATTGAGATAAATAAACACTGACAAACTTTGTGTGATTTTGTCCTTTACAAATAACTATCACTTTAATGCAGTTCTAGGCCATTGTCCTCATTTATGTCAATATGATCTGACTTTGCAGTGATTTTAGTCAATTGCGTCTTTTTATGCGAAACATGAAACAAAAAAAAAATGTCGCACCTACCGATGCAAAATAGGTAGTCAGAGCCTTGGGAAATCACCAGTGAGTGTGTGAAAACTGTGTAATAACTAATCCAAATAGCCATTAGTACAGTATTGTTTATTCTTATAGATTTGGTATCTCGGAGACCTATGTTTGAATAACAGGGGCCGGTAATTTTACGTTCCTTTTTGTACATCTGTCAATAATCTTTCTTTGCAGTGCGTCATTTTATGCGAAACGTCAAAAAAAAAAAAAAGAGCCGCATCTACCGAGATCACGTTAAATCAAGCATAGTGTGTTACCGGCCCCTGTGGTTTAATCACAACTTGAAAGGATATGTTTTGCTCAATGCTTAAAAATTTATAACGATATCTTACACTAAAATAAAGTAAGATACCTTGATTTCTAATTTTCTGCCTTTATTGTGTGGCTTGTTTGACTTTGAAATGAGCAATTGGATAATTGAGAGTAAGGCTTAGATATAATCTTTTCTGTGGGTGTTGCCCTTCATTCCCCCAACAACTGACAATCCATTTTCTGATGAATACTGCTGAATTCCATTAAACTTATACATGGAAATTGTTAGAGTTTTTTTTTCTTGGATGATTTCTATAGGAAAAACGTTTTGTGCAATTTTACTCAAATGTAAGTGGTATATTTTTTTAATATTGCAAACAACAAGCAAAAAACTACATTGTATATCAAAAAGGGACAACGATGTATTGTTGCAAATTTTAACGGTAATTGCGCATGTTAATGTACGTAGATACTTATATGGCATAACAATTTTCACTGAAACTTCGCGAGTTTCTTGAATGTGTCAATTCGTTTTTGACTTTTTTCGCTTTTTAGTTGTTTCGTTTACTGGCATTCGCAATTTTCCTCGTTGAACAAGATCATGGAACTTGTAAGCATCAACTTCTTCCTTATGGATAACGTCCATTAATTTCACATCTCTTTTTTCTCCATCAACCACTATTCCAGTTTGCAGAAGTCTATCGCGACTTTTCATATCACGCATGCGTACAATCCATCGTGATCTCGCCTCGCTGTCAATCGCAACGACATTCACAGGATCAAACTGGATGTCACCAATAGGTCCTCCACAGTTTTCTTCTACTAATGCCTTCACTTCTTCGTGGCTCATTACGTTGTCTGGAAGGTTAAAACACAAGCAGAGAGGGTCCAGAGGCGGCATCTCTTTTCTCATACGCACCGCAACCAAACGTTTTTTCTTCCATTTGCTATAATTCGATTTTTCTTTAACTTCTTCTAGCAATGTCTTTTTCGGTTCCTTCCGTCCGTCGTTTGTATCTACCACGTTACCATCGTCAATATCCTGATCGCCTCCATATCTGAAAGCAGTAAAGACAAGTAGATGCCATAATTAATATTAAACGATAAATTACTGAAAACCCTGGAAATTTTTCTTGAAGAATTATAGCATTGAAGAAAATTTACAATTCTTAGATTAAAAGTTGTTCCTCTAAGTTAACTCACTTTTGTACAGGTTGTTGAATGTGTGGTAGCTTATATCCTCTTGCCAACATTTCCTTTCCTTGTGAAATTATATTCAAACCTCCACTAGTTGTATAAGATTCATAATTTTCGAACTTCTCGAAAAAGGCATCCCTTTCTTTGATGTAATTCTGGTAATCTTTGTTGGATAGAAGATGTGATAGCTTCGCAGCATGCGTATTGTGATAAAGGGTGGCATTACGTGTGTTTGTTTGAGGTGAGGTTTCAGTTGTAGCATGGAGATTCCCGGTCTGAAGTGCGAGGTCTTCCAACCGGAAGTCTCTATCTTTCGAATACTCCATATCTTCCGCTTCGTTGACCCAAGCTTCTTTAGTCTGGTGTTCGATTGCTTTTCGTTGCTGGATTTTAGTTTGTTTTCTGGTTTCTTTTTTCATCTCTTCTGACTTTCGAAACCCCAGTGAACAGAGTCTTCGGTACAAGTCTTTGTCAATACGAGCTTTGAACAAACTTGGAAGAGACACAGTTCTTTTCACTTTGCTATCAGATTCTTCTTCAAATCTGTCCGTTGTTCCATACGTGTTTTCTCTTGCTGAAAATAAGTTGTGGTCACGCATTGGGTTTTGTTGTATGTCTCTTTCTAATAAATCTCTTGATGTTAGATGGCTGGGATATCTTTCAGACTTTTGGAAATTCGCAAATTTAGAATAAAGTCCTTGGTCCACTGTTTGATATTGGTTTCCTATGCTATAGAAAGCGTTTTGTTGAGATGATGCAAGTAACGATTGACTGTTTTCCTCATGAGATGCGATTTTGTCGTTGGTAATCTGTGTGCCCATTTTATTTTCTCTGCCGTGTATGCTAGGGAGCTTGAGTGAGTTTTCAAAACTTCTTGTGTTATGGGTATTTGGTGGTAGTTCTGTATTAATTTGCCATTGGATAAGTCTGGAGACAGGGTCAAAGGTTAAGGCACCCTTATAGCCCGTTATCTTCAAAAGTTCTGACAGAGATTCAGAATCGGAAGGGTATTGAAGTCGTTCGCCTGCTTTTAGTAATTTTATGACATCATCAGCCTCTTCCTCATTGCAATTTTCAATTGTCATGCATGTGTCTGCCATGTTGTAGTCTCTTAGTGGATACGGAACTGACGTCACGGGAAAGGTACGGCGTGGAATTTTCTTCGGCAGACGTCCGTCAACTGCAAGAATAATCAACGCTTGACTTGATGTTGGCATGCTGAAAAAAATGAACAAATATATAAGACTTTGAATTGCTGTGTACGTCTAGTATCTAAATGCATAAAAGATACAATCATACAAAGGAGATGGATGAACAAGGCGTGCAGAATGCCTATAGCTTCAGATACATGTATATAAAATCATATTAAATCTGTGAATTTAGCATTTAGAGTAAAGTTCTCATTATTGAAATTTATGAAATTCTGATAAACAAAACTTTTTCCTAGGAAAATTTTCTCGGCAAAAATTATTTGTGGTAATGTGGTATTTGTGAGGTTCGAACCCTAGCAATAAAAATCCTGGGTATCTTGATCATTTTCCTTTGACACTAACACGCTAACCACTATGCTAAGCAACTCCTGATAAATAGTTGCAATTAAATCATGTTTGTGATGTGACGCTTGAAAATAAACCAAGTTTTTCTCATAAAGATGCGAATGTTGTTTCATAAAAGTGTTGTTTTTTTTTAAGATATAGTGGGTTTGTTCCATTTTTTGTTAATCAAAATATGTATAATATTTTAAAACTTTAAGGATCATCTTTCAAAAAAAAAATGGAGAGAAGACTCATTCATATCGAAAAAATATGTTATAGTGTGAGAAAATTGTCTTTTTTGCCTTCTTTAGTGTGTGTATGCAATTTCATATGCAAATAATTTCAATCTTTGCAAGAGAGATCTTTGCAAATTGTGGGAATTTTACATTTAACATATACTTTAATGTTAGATGAAATATCAAAGAAAATTTTGTTATTATTGAGATTGAATTTTTCGCCTTCATGTTTGTCGCAATATAGGCATTTCGCTCGCCTTGTTCGCCCATCTTCTTTAGTATAACTTTCATAACTTTACGACTATTTATTTCGGCTCTCTTTCCATAATTATTTGGATGAACTTCAGTTAGATGTGTAAGGTACATAGATAATTCCATAGTTTAAGTTAAGAATTTATTGTATATAAACATACTCCAACCCTGAGAGACAGCAAGTGTTTGTTTTTAGATGAAACGTACCGTTCACATTAATGATTTAGAGTTCATAAGGATCATTTTCACAATGACATGTTTGTTGTGCATACGCTTTCTTAAACGGAATGCACTCAAAAAGTATGAGGTACAAGGGTGAAACAGGTATATGCAAACTTCAATTTACAAATAATTCAAGCTAAAACACAGAAATAATGACAATTTATTGGAGGTTACAGTTAAATATGACAGGATTTTTTTTAATCTCGAAAAGATCAAAATACAAAGTTATCCTTATTCCATTATATTAGTACATATATTTCAGTGTTGGCTGTATTGTATATATTCGTGATAAGACATTTTATACAAAAACATTTTCGAAAATAGTTTAATTAGTAAACTTAATAGATTTTTTATACAACGACATTTATGGGATATTAATCGAAGTGTGAAAAATATAAATAACTCGGATGTTTAAATTAATATTAGATATCCATTTCTCTACGGTCAGAACATGTTTACTTTTACTCCCAATTGCAAAATCAATATGCTGTTAATTGCATAAGTTCAATCAAGCCTTGGGTGACAAATTAATTTGTGATCTGTAGGCAATGACGTAAAAAGGACTAAATTTAACTTCCTCTACACCGATAATGATAACAGTACAAGAATCAAAGGGAGTTTAATAGAATATGGGTGGGACTCGCTGAGTTGTAAAATAAAGATGCTCAACGACGTTTGTTGTCTCTAAAAGGCCATTTTTATGGTACATGTATTATATGCATGAACCTTTAGAGGAAACGCCAAATTCAGGGTGTCATTGTATATTTCTTCATTACGACTGACATACAGTACAGGCACGTAGATTTGTTTTTGAAAGTGGTGACAGGGGCTAGACAGAATAAAAAATGACAACTCACATGAAAAATCTTTGACAAGCAGAGAAAAGAAAATTTTGCCAACTCGAAAATCTTACTTCGGAAGTGTGTATGTGTGTGTGTGTGTGTGGGGGGGGGGGGGGGGTGTTCCAATATTTTTACATTTTATGAATACATTACCATGGGAAAATTTGACTATACTTCAACAGAAATGGGGGTTGGCCTTTCAGTGAAGATGTTCAACAGTAAAAGGCAACAGTTTTAAGCAACTCTTATCAACTCCGATGATAGACTATCATCCTGGCTAAATTCATTTTGTTATTAGAATTAAAGTATTAAGATTTTTTATTACAACACAAAATACAGTATTATTATAAGCGGACAATGCAATACTAAACTTTATATATATATATATATATATATATATATATATATATATATATATATATATATATATATATATATATATATATATATATATATATATACCTATTGATTTAAAAACGTGAAGTGTAATTATTGCAAAATTAATCAGAATGTTAGATTATACCCTTAATATGAATTATTAAATGAGAATTAGGAAACAGAATCTATTACATGTATAACGTGTTAAGATGAAATGCAATGAAAACTCAACTTAGTAAATAGTTTATTCAGGATATATAACTTTGGGCAATACAGCCCATCAGTTTAGAAAAATAACATAATAACATATATTACAAAATTTAAGACAAAGAGCAAAGACCCACTCTTAGTAGCCCAACAATACAAATTCAACAAAAGAAAAATAGGAATACTCACCTTGAAACAATTAATTAGATATACATTTCAATGTGTAATTTTGTATTTTTAAAGATCCGATCCGATAAAGTGTATTCTTGTGTTGTTAATCGAGTACCTCCGTATACGTGTTTTGCACTCGGGGAGGATAAGAAATTTAAGGTTGGTTTGGACAATGATAAAGGCACATCTCAAGAGGGGATGGCACTTTTGTTTTATCGGGCACGGAATATAAACAATGCACTGATTACAAACACATCACAGCGCCGGGATTACAATGTAGCTGAATGATTTATAGAACTCTATTATCAAAGTGAATAAAAGTTATCCGTACGAAATTTTAAGTGTTATCCAGGTTTTAAATAAAAGTTACTTAATATGTTTTTTGCCTATTGAAGGGATATTATTGGAGTAAAATGGATTTAAAATTAATTTTTAAGCGGAAAATACGATAAAAATAAATGATAAAATGAGTTTTAGATTTATCCTTTTTATGCCCCCGTATCGAAGATTCCGTCCGTCTGTCTAGCTGTCTGTCTGTTTGTTTGTCCGCAAAAACTTTAACCTTGCCCATAACTTTTTATTGTTTGGAGCTATGGCTTTCATATTTCACATGTGTATTCCTTGTGACAAGACCTTTCTTTGGATACCACCATATTTGACCTTGGAGTTTGACCCAGTTTTGCAAAATTTTACCAAACTTTAACCTTGGCCATAACTTTTGAACGGTTGGAGCTAGGGCTTTCATATTTCACATGTATAATCCTTGTGACAAGACCTTCCTTTGGATACCAATAACTTTGACCCTTTGACCTTGACCTTGAAGTTTGACTTACTTTTGAAAAACTTTACCCTTGGTCATAACTTTTGAACGGTTAGAGCTAGGGCTTTCATACTTCACATATGTAATCCTTGTGACAAGACCTTCTTTGGATATCAACAGCTTTGACCCTTTGACCTTGACCTTGGAGTTTGACCTACTTTTGGAAATCTTTAACCTTGGTCATAACTTTTGAATGACTGGTGCGTCGGCTTTCATATTTCACATGTGTATTTCTTGGGAGAAGGCCTTTCCTTGGGCACCATTAATTTTGACCATTTGACCTTGACCTTGATGTTTGACATACTTTTGAAAAAACGTTAACGTTTTCCAAATCTATTCAATGGTTGCTGCTGGGGCTTTCATATTTCACAGGTATATTTATCGAGACAAGACCTTACTTTGGGTACCAACATATTTGATTTGCATTTGAAAAAGTTTAACCTTTGCTATAAATTGCCATACGGGGGCATCAGTGTTCCACAAACACATCTTGTTTATTATATATTTTTTGTATTTAGGTATTTTTAATATCCATTTTTATTCAACTAACAAAAAGTGATTTTTATTTTAAAAATTTGCTTATGGTAATGTCCAGTCTGACAGATTTTACTTAATGAATAAAGATTCTTCTTATTTTATTTTCTTTATATATTGTATTTCAATTCTGTGCTTAAAGTGGCATTTAGGCCCGATGGGCCGGGTGTTGATTAATTTTTCTTTTTATTTAGTTTGTATACAAAATACTTTATGTACACATGTCACTATAAATAAATAAATTACTAACTTACTTAAAGATTATCTCTTCAATATGACTGCGTAAGTCACATTGCAGAGTTTATTAGATAAAATAAAATCTGTCAAAAAGAACAAAAACATGTAATTTAATTTAAGTTACCTTAAATGTAGTAAATTTCTTCCAAGGAATTAAAACCGATCCTTTTAAATGGAATCCCAGTACAAAATAACATATCTTCCTGCAACAAACCAGTCCTTTCGCATTTGACTATGTAATTAATAATTGAGAGCAAGTATAAAGCCGAAAGGAGGAACACTGAATGACGCTTTTGTCGTTTGTCTTGGCAAGGGGGACCAATGGGATGTGAATCATTTATTGGGGCTGTGTATAAGTCAAAGAAACACGGATACAATGCATAAGTGTTCAGCCTCATAAACCGAATCATTCAATCGACTTTGCAATTTATGCCATTGTTTAAAAAATCGTCTGGAAAATCACTGAAAAGGAATAAACAGGAGAGTCGAATTACCTTTTTTTATGAAATGGCTTTTTAAATCCTAAATAAAAAAAGTTTAAAAAAAAATCTTTAAAAAACCTTCCATTTTCGAAATATACATGCGTTTTGTGATAATTTTTTTGAAAGAATTCAATAAAGCTGACAGACTAAATGTATTAAATTTCAATTTGTATTTAATAAATGTAGCTGTTTACATAAAAAAATAAGAATGATATTTTGAAAACTTTATATTATATATTATACAATTATGGACTCTTTCGGTGGTGAATATGGTTTGTTATTCACCAGAAAAATATCAATATTGACCGAGGCGAAGCCGAGGTCAATATTGATATTTTTCTGGTAAATAACAAACCATATTCACCACCGAAAGAGTCCATAAATGTTTTATTTTATAGTCAGGATTTGAATAAATAAGACATTGAAGGCTACATAACTATACCGTTTTCATTAACGAACCTCTGTCGTTGAAAAATAAAAAAAAAATGTCCAGATAACAACTTATAACTTCCGTATTTTCCTTTAGCTGTGTGTAAAACATCGAAATGTTTGGAAAATAATCCTGCAATAGATTTGCCTAACATTTTCACGGCTGGCTCCGGCCGTTGCAACTTTTTTTTTGTTTTGTTTTCAACGTTGTTTAAGGTGTTGATTGTGACGTCACAATATACCGCTGCACGCGCACTGACTCTCCGGTGAATACGACCTAAAATTCAGTGAATATGTAGTATTATGAACCGTTTGCGTTTGTATAGATTATATAGGGACTATTTATAGACTATATAATGATATAGTTTATAAAATCGTCCTCACTGCCGATTTCTTGAAGATGCTTAGCTCAAAATGAGCTTTAATTAAATTTTAATCTGTTAAATAGGACTCTGGAACGCTTTAGGATCAAAAAATACAATAACCCATTGTCATCACTCTCAGCCAGTGTCAAACCTTTCCTTTGGATGTATAATTAAAGTCCAATGTCACAAGAGATTTACTAACATTAATGTTACATGAGCGTTTTACTGAGTATAACAATACACAACATAAATTTATTTTGTACATTTTCTTTTAAAATTACCATTGATCCTTGGACTGTCCTTGCAATAGATTTGTTAAAAACACATTAATCAGACTATAGACACACGACAGAGAACTTAACAATTAATCTGAAACGTGTTTAGAATTCAATTTAACATTTTTACCCTTATACATTTAGAGCACAGATAAACTGATATACTAAGGGTATAAAAAGTACTTTTTGTAGCCCACTATGTTAGCCAGGTTAAAACAATCTGAAGGCCTGTGATTTAGAGACGTTATTTCAGGTTTTCGTTTTGCTCGGGTAAAAGGAATGACCCCCACCCCTTTCAATTTTTTAAAGTTTATTTCGATACTGTAGATTCCTTATTTTTCGCGAGTACTCTTTATCGCGAATGGGATTTTCAACTTCAAAGCGCGAGAAGAATAATTCGCGAACGGACGTTTGATCAAGAGCTTTTACATAGATTTCACAACCATAAAAATAAAAGCGAGTATTTTTTTTTCGCGATTGGTGCGTCTCGTGAAATTACGCGATAATTATTTCCACGAGTATATTTAGGAATCTATAGTATGTATCCAAGTCACTTTTTATCAAAAATCATTAATAAATATATTCATAGCTCTAGGTAAGTATTAGTATTGTTTACGTCACGCTTTACCCACAAGAGGATTTATTATGACGTCACAATACCTACTATCTGTGACGTCACAATTGCTTTTCTTGCGGCTGGAAACTATCCGAATTTGTCTCCGCAGTTTCTAAACTGGGGAAAACTACAAAATGGCATCAAATGATGATGATATTAGAGCAAAGCAGAGGCAGATAAGCATTCGAGGAATAGCTCCTCTAGAAGGTGTAAACAACATCAAAAACAACTTCAACAAACATCTCCACTTCACTCTGGTAAAAGATCGACAGAACGCAACTTCAAGAGATTATTTCTTTGCCTTGGCTCACGCAGTTAAAGACCAGGTTTGTGGAAGATGGATCCGCACCCACCAACACTACCATAAGACAGACACTAAAAAGATATACTATTTGTCTATGGAGTTCTACATGGGAAGAGCTTTGACCAACACCATGGTTAATATCGGAATCGATAGCGAATGTGAAGAAGCAATGTATCAGCTCGGGCTAGACATGGAAGAACTTGAAAGCATGGAGGAAGATGCTGGTTTGGGCAATGGAGGTTTAGGGCGATTAGCTGCCTGCTTTCTCGATTCCATGGCCACACTGGGAATGCCAGCCTATGGTTATGGTATACGGTATGACTACGGAATCTTTGAACAAAGAATCAGAGGAGGCTGGCAAGTCGAGGAACCCGATGAGTGGCTGCGTTATGGAAACCCCTGGGAACAAGCTCGTCCCGAATATGTTCTGCACGTCAATTTTTACGGAAGGATCGAACAGAATGAGAACGGAACAAAATGGTTGGATTACCAAACTGTGTGTGCTTTACCATACGATACACCAATACCTGGTTATGGAAACAACACCATCAACATTATGAGACTGTGGTCAGCTAAAGCTCCAAATAGCTTCAATCTGAAATTTTTTAACAATGGTTCTTACCTTCAAGCTGTGCACGATAGATACTTAGCTGAGAATATTACACGTGTATTGTATCCGAATGACTCCATGTTTGAGGGTCGAGAGTTGAGACTAAAGCAGGAATATTTCCTTGTATCAGCCTCTCTCCAAGACATAATCAGAAGATACAAAGGCGGAAAAAACTTCGACTACGAGAGAGTATCATTTGGCGCTTTTTCTGAGAAAACCGCTATTCAATTGAATGATACTCATCCTGCACTAGCTATACCAGAGTTGATGAGGATTCTTATAGATGAAGAAGGTCTAGTGTGGGAAGAAGCCTGGAAGATCGTTGTGGACACCTGTGCATACACAAACCATACTGTTCTTCCAGAGGCTCTGGAAAGATGGCCAGTGTCACTCTTGGAAAAGCTAATTCCAAGACATTTGGAAATTATCTACCTAATCAATCACCTATTTCTGAAAAAGGTAGAAGAAAAATGGCCAGGAGATGGAGATCGGAAAAGAAGAATGTCAATGGTTGAAGAGGGGGGAGAAAAATTTATCAACATGGCTCATCTGTGTATTGTTGGATCTCATGCTGTTAACGGTGTTGCCAGAATACATTCTGAAATCATAAAGACCAGCATCTTCAAAGATTTTTATGAGATGTTTCCAGAAAGGTTCCAAAACAAGACCAACGGGATAACTCCTCGTCGATGGCTGTTGATGTGTAACCCTTCGCTATCCTCACTCATCACTCAAAGAATCCAATCGGAATGGGTCACAAACTTGGATTTACTGAGAAATCTGGAACCACTGACCTCGGATGAAGTCTTTTTGAGAAGTCTGATTCGAGTAAAACAGGAAAACAAACAGAAACTAGCCTGTTATATTGAGAAAGAATTCAACATTTCTATCAATCCTTCTTCCATGTTTGATATTCAAGTCAAACGAATCCATGAATACAAAAGACAATTGCTTAACTGCCTTCACATCATCACCTTGTACAACGAGGTTAAGAGGCACGGTTCAAACAAAATCGTTCCTCGGACTGTGATGATTGGTGGAAAAGCCGCCCCAGGTTACTATATGGCCAAACTCATCATCAAATTGGTCAACTGCGTTGCTGACGTAGTCAATCATGACCCTGATGTTGGCGACAAACTGAAAGTTGTGTTTTTGGAGAACTATCGAGTCAGTCTTGCTGAGAAGATTGTACCAGCAGCAGATCTGAGTGAACAAATCTCTTTGGCGGGAACTGAGGCGTCCGGTACAGGAAATATGAAATTCATGTTAAATGGTGCTCTAACCATTGGTACACTCGATGGTGCTAACGTAGAAATGCGGGAGGAAGTTGGCGCAGAGAATTTCTTCCTCTTTGGGATGACTGTCGAAGAGGTGGAGAGTCTTAGAAAAGATGGTTACTATCCTAGAAAGTACTACGAGGAAAATGCCAAACTTAGAGAAGCAATTGATCAGATAAACAATGGCTTCTTTTCCCCGGAGGATCCCACTCTTTTCCGGGACATTTTCAACAATCTGATGCATACTGATCGGTTAGTATATTGTTATATACACATGTATACATTATTTTAATTAACATAATTGTACCCTACACTAAACTCAAAAGGTAACGTTTCTCAAAGACCTTTTTCTACATCTGCAAATAATAAACTAATGCACAGAAAGCTTGATGTGTAACAATTATTTGTCAAGGGATTTTCAACTAAGATTTCATAAAACGTTTTTCCCTTGATAACAGTTTTAACACCATATTTCTGTATTCATTAGATACTGCCTGATGAAAGACTACAGTTCTTACATCGAATGTCAGCAACGCGTAAGCGAGCTTTACAAGAAACCTATGGAATGGGCACGCATGTGTTTACGTAACATTGCGGCCTCGGGTAAATTCTCAAGTGACCGCACAATAAAGGAATACGCAACAGACATCTGGGGAGTGGATCCATCTGGGATTAAACTCCTGGCACCCCATGAGGAGTCACATGATTAATACCCAGGTGTAAAATGTTATGGAATAGAATCTGGACAATACGATAATATCATTTCTTTGTTGATAAGTTTCCTGATAATAAAATAAAGCATTTTTATTATGTTTTGTAAATTCTTTAATTGTATTCAAACAAGAACATATAATACACAAGCAGTTTCAAATACTTAGTACAGCACAAATGAAAACAAATGTTTAGTTATACACTGTTATAAATGAAGTTTCCAGTATTTCTTTGACTATATTCCTCAGAAAGTTACAAGTTAAATGTTAACAATATTTTTCGTACACACAGAAGTTGGACTTTTGGTAAACAAGTTAATGCTACATATAGATTCTGCAGGCCTTATGTGCTCAAAGCACGTAGAGGACTAAGAAAGTAAGTAACATGTGGATTCAGGATCATGGATTTTATAGTTTTGTTTCGATTTTCAGATGAAATCTTGCCTTGTGCTGGGACAATTTAATTATAATTACATATTTCCTTAAGAAATTGAAATCTACTCAACACTTCTGAATTTTTAAAAATAAAATTCTATTTTACAGTATGAACTATAACTTAAAACATCCCAATGAAACATCATTGGTTTTTTTTATTACATGCACAGGGAACTTGTATCACATCTTTTATATCACTTACTTAACAAAGCTGTTCTAATTTTCTGCAAATGAGCCCTAAAATAGTATATACCTTTATACACTATTTGTACAGATCTAAGTAATTCAAATCTCTAGGACTTGCACAGTGTACCAGTATTTCAATATTTCAGTCTTGCTTGGTCACACAGTAAATTTAGGGAAAAAAATTAAAACATACAGACATATAGCAAAGGACTTTCACTTACATGTACATATTGACAAATACTTGCAAAACTATAGCACTGTCAAATTCTATGTTAAATGGAAGATCCCTAACCAACACAAACTACATGATAACATATGCAGAGGAAAGTTGTGGAGAAGTTATAGAAAATTACAGCAATGAAATACAAATGCAAATAATATCATATAACACAAATAATCATAAAAATTAACATACAAAACAAAATTTGTTTTGGTCATTTCTGCTAAAATTCTTTATGGTTGATAATTATATTACAGTATTTACTTCTGAGTGTGTTACATGTAAACTTTAATCAAGGAGACAGAAATAAAATTCATGGAAGTTTGTTGGAGCTAAAAAAAATATGTACATTTTTACATTATCACATTAAGTTGTACAGATGTACAGTGTAAATGTTCATGTTGCTGGACAACTCAGAGCCCATAGTTTTTGGACAACTCAGAGAGAGCCCATAGTTTAAAAAAAACGACTTAATCAGCATTGATATTGCAAAAAAATAGTTTAACATTAAAACAAACCCTACTTAAAGGGGAAAAAAAATTCTAAAACTACACATGAAGAATGTTTTAAATATAAGCTAAAACTCAAATTTTGAAAAATGTTTAAAAACAAAAGAATATGAGTTATTTACATGCAAATGCGTTTAACATTTTTTTTTTCTTTTTGTGTGTGTGTGTGTGTGTGTGCAAGTAGGAATAAATGTCTAGCTTTAAATATCTTTGATGTCAAGTTAGCATACAACATCAAAACTTGATTTGAATATTGTTCATTTACTTGGTACATAAAAATAAGGAATTTTGTAAAATCAATATATTTGCATTGATTGTGCTAAATAAATTAAAACTAGAACAAGGAATTTAATAAATTTAGGAGGAAAACAATGTGTTGTAACAGTGCCTAGCAAAGTATAATTGATAAGTAAGGGTGCAGGCACATTCAGACAACTTCAGATGTACATGTAATCTTAAACAGTACTGTAAATACTATTATCCTTGCCCTTAATTTTTTTTTAGTACCATAAGAACATAAATGGTCCCAGAAAATAAACAGCTTCCAGCAGGTATAATTTTACTATTATTTCAGTCTAAAATATTTTCTTCAGAGTTGTGCTTGGCATAATAGACAATGTATAAATCTTATCATCGTCAATGAATTTCATATTCTCATGTTCGTTGTTCCACTTAAAGCAAAAAGCGTACATGTATTATGGCAATTCAATGTCCAATTCCATAGTAATATTTGTAAAATATTAATTTGGGTACACAGAGAGCATTTACAATGAATTTTGAAATATTACCATGCAAATTACTATTGGTATCATAAATTACTGTATACAAGAAATTAAATATTTTTTGCCAAAAGATTAATATATATACATAAATATGCCTCTGCTTAATTTGAAAAACAAATGCCAATATAAATATCAAGATATTGTAATCCCTGTCACATTAAAAATTTAATCCTGAGAAAAAAATTCTGATATTAGTAAAATCTGAACAGAAATTATGGACACAGTATACTGAACACAGTCTAAAATAAATGTCTGATTTATAATAAATTAGATTCCACACAAATATCACTAGTTGATCCTCAACATTAATGTTGTTCAAACAGTGTTTTTATGTCAGCTAAAGCTTGCACTATGGAATTCACCATCTTCTTAGAACTCTACAATAAATAAATGTAAAATCAGATTTCTCTCCCTTTAAATGAGTTATGATTAAAAAAAAGAACTTCCAAGTGTTTATATCTTTAGGTATATTATATTTAAACTAATTTTGAGCAAACACACAATAATCTTCTTCTAAAATATCTGTTGTGACAAATTGCAAGTATGATTGAATACCTTCAACAACAAAGATGTGCTCAGAGGAAAAAGTTTTGGGCAATTTCAAAAGGATATAAAACCATTGCTTTGATGCACTTAATCTAACAGGAAAATTTTCCAATTGAATAAGATCAGATCTAAAACTAAAAAAATTGTTATAATTCCCTGCATTTTAACTTACAGTGGTAGGACAGGAGTTTTTGCAGGATACATGGAAGAACACACAGTCTTCCCCAGCAATGATGTAGGACACCCCGTACCCATCATCAGCCACCGGTCCAAATCCTCCCCCTGCTGATATGTGCTCTGGGTGCTTTGTCAGATCTAATTTGTTGGTCTGCTGATGAGGAGTCTGTAACAAAAATGATTTAATTATCATACACACTCCTGGCTAGTGTTATAACAATGTCTTACATCCATGAAATATGGAAATATTTGATACACAGTTCCATGTCAGAATACTCAAATGGGGGCGTTGTTCAGCATAATTTTAAATGAGTTTAAAGTCTTGTAGTTATTATGACTGCAAATCATAAAGTATGTTTAGGAAATTCAGAAGGAAAACAAATATAATCCTTATTTATTTGATATCACAACTTTATTTTTCTCTCCAATATACTGTATACCCTCTGACATACATGTTCACTGGATGATCTCTCTCATTGGAGCCTCTGTTATTTGGATGCCAATAATCCAAACCCCTCATTTTCCAGACAAAATTTGTCAGAAACAGAACTTACATCATTATCTACCAATTACAAGAGGCCCATGGGCCACATCGCTCACCTGAGTAACTTTGGCCATGCTGTTCTTTACCAGATTTCCCCTTTTAATATACCTATTGTGGCCCCGCCCTATCCCCAGGGGTCATGATTTGAACAATTTAGAATCTACACTACCCTAGGATGCTTCCAAATACGTTCCAGCTTTATTGGTCCAGTGGTTCTTGAAAAGAAGATTTTTAAAGATTTTTCTTATATATTTCAATGTAAAACTTGGATTCCCTATTGTGTCCCGCCCTACCCCCGGGGGTCATGATTTGAACAACATATGCTTCCACTTAAATTTCAGCTTTTCTGGCCCAATGGTTCTTGAGAAGAAGATTTTAAAATATTTTTCCTATATATCTCAATGTAAAAGTTGGATTCCCTATTGTGGCTCAGCCCTACCCCCAGGGGTCATGATTTGAACAATTTAGAATCTACACTACCCCAGGATGCTTCCATATAAGTTTCAGTTTTTCTGGCCAAGTTGTTCTTGAGAAGGATTTTTAAAGATTTTACTTGTATATTTCAATGTAAAACTTGGATTCCCTATTGTGGCCCCGCCCTACCCCCGGGGGTCATGATTTGAACAATTTAGAATCTACACTACCCCAGGATGCTTCCATATATTCAGCTTTTCTGGTCAAGTGGTTCTCGAGAAGAAGATTTTTAAAGATTTTCTCTTATATATTTCAATGTTAAACTTGGATTCCCTACTGTGGCCCCGCCCTAGCCCGGGGGTCATGATTTGAACAATTTAGAATCTACGCTACCCCAGGACGCTTCCATATAAGTTTCAGTATTTCTGGTCCAGTGGTTCTTAAGAAGAAGATTTTTTAAGATTTTTCCTATACATTTCAATGTAAAACTTGGATTCCCTACTGTGGCCCCGCCCCCGGGGGTCATAATTTGAACAATTTATAATCTACACTACCCTTGGATGCTCCACATAAGTTTCAGTTTTTCTGGCCAAGTTGTTCTTGAGAAGAAGATTTTTAAAGATTTTTCTTATATATTTCAATGTAAATCTTGGATTCCCTATTGTGGCCCCGCCCTACCCCCGGGGGTCATGATTTGAACAATTTAGAATCTACACTACCCCAGGATGCTTCCATATAAGTTTCAGTATTTCTGGCCAAGTTGTTCTTGAGAAGAAGATCTTTTAATGACCCCACCCTATTTTTGTCTTTTCTTGATTATCTCCCCTTGTAAGGGGACTTGGCCCTTTATTTTAACAACTTACCCTCCCCTTCACCCAAGGATACTTTGTACCAAGTTTGGTTAAAATTGGCCTAGTGGTTCTTGAGAAGAAGTTGAAAATGTGAAAAGTTTACAGACGGACGGACATATGGACGGACGACGGACAACGGGTGATCAGAAAAGCTCACTTGAGCTTTCAGCTCAGGTGAGCTAATAAAAGGTATGTTTCAGAAATCCGGATGCTTCACTGATCAGGAAAATTTGCTTGGAAACACAAGCTCAAGGCTCACTGTACTCCATAAACTCTCTGAGGTGAGACAATATGTTCTCTAAGAAACAATGTATACTCTCAGACATACACTGCATATATTCTCACCCTCTTAGATACAATTTAAGTTATCTGAGAACCACTGTTAAACTATCTGAGACTCTCTGTACAGCAGGAGCATTTCCCTACCTGACTAGTTGAGAGTCGCCAGGGCTCACTGAGTACTTCATGCAAAAATGGTGAGTCCAAATCCAGGTACTTGGACACCACATACAAACAGAAGAGATGGCGATCAATGCCCTTGCCAGTCATGGCATTACGACAGTTTATTTGGTGAAGATCTGCAGCTTTCTTCATTAGAGCAATGCGTTCTTCCCTCTGCAATTTCAGAGAGAAAGAAAATGAATACATAAATCACTGGAAGTATATATGTATATTTGAATAAATTTTCAAAGCAAAATTTCAAATATTTCTACATTTTTCTCCTATCTCCTAAACAAAATACTTTTTCCTAGTCTAAATACTTATACATGTACTTGATAACATTAGAGCCTCTTGCAGCTTCTGTACTTTAATTAATGGATAATTCTTCTCTGGATGTTTTTCATACTCACTGTTTTATCTGGGTCATCCATAGCCTTCACAAAATCAGACGACAGGACTGTACAGGACCTCACGGTTTCTGTTCTGCCCTCCCTGAAGAGACGTGTCATGGAGGATTCATATGTCAGACAGAACTTCTTGTTTAACTAAAATGAAACATCATATGATTATAAAACAATTTTTTTCTGTGGAGAAATTTATACAGTATGACACCTTCTACAGCAATTCACAGTAATAAGTAGTTTCCCTCTCTTTTTACATTTACATGTATGCCGTAAAGTTAATTCCATGTGCAAATAATTAGAGACCATTTTTCTTTTTCTCAATTTCATGATAATCATTGTAGTTTCAGAAATTAGGTGCTATATTTATTCTGAAGCATACAAGTTGTAGGGTTGAAGGGTCACATCAATATTTTTCCTGTAGTAAACCAGCTGAAGGGCTAGCTGGGTGTAGGACTTGACTAATAAGCCAGCTGAGTGTAGGACTTGACTATAGTAAGCCAGTTGGATGTAGGACTTACCCTGTAGTAAGTCAATGCAGGGCAAGTTGGATGTAGGACTTACCCTATAGTAAGCTAGCTGGATGTAGGACTTACCCTGTGGTAAGCAGTCAGGATGTAGAACTTACCCTGTGGTAAGCTGTTGGGATGTAAGACTTGCCCTGTGTTTAACTAGCTGGATGTAGGACTTACCCTATGGTAAGCTAGCTGGATGTAGAACTTACCCTGTGGTAAGCTGTCAGGATGTAGGACTTACCCTGTGGTTTACTAGCTGGATGTAGGACTTACCCTGTAGTAAGCCAGCTGCAGGGCTATCTGGATGTATGCATCTGGACTGACCCGGCAGACTTTCATGAATCCTTTGCCGTACTGGTTATGGACCAACAATTCCAGATCGACATCAGCTATCAGCTGCTTGGCTGCCTCCAGGCTGTTCTCAATTACCTGTAGGCACTGTAAGGAAAAAGAGTGCAATGTATAAACTGAAATACATGTAAGTATCCAAAAGTTTTTTTTATTAATGATATAAACGCTTTTGAAAATACATACTAAATAATGAGACATGAAAATATTTTGGTTACTCATGTGGTGAGAAGAGGAAGCTAGGCGTATTATAAAAGCAAGAACTTGAAAATAAGGAAAGAGTATTTTGTGTGTATTTTTGTCATCCACAGCTCGTTATCTGCAATATTCAAAGAGTAGTGGGTTTCATTTTTTTACTCTGAATTCTGTTGGTGATTCTGTTTTTATGATAATATTTTTAGGGGATTATACAAGTATTTTCATACTTCATTCATACATGACATTTACTTTCATAGGATATATAACAAATGGTAAAAGACTTACAGGTTTTGGCAGATCCCACTCCAGTCTTATAGGATTGGGTGGAGGAGTAGTTATCTCCCCTTTACAGTAGCCCTCTTCTGTGTATCTGTAAGGTTAAACAAGTTGTTATCTCTGGAATCAATCTTCATCAAATAGCAAGACAAGAACAAGATCAGATATTTGGGAATAAACTTTATGCATATAATGGGCAACTTTTCTAACAGCAACACACTTAAAATTCATTTAAAATAAAAATAATTAATTAAATCTTGAGATGTGAAATTTGTAATAAGAGCATATAAAACTAGAACAGATAAAATACATAAACAATAACAAGATGAGGATATGTTAAGTGACATTGTTTAAAACCCACTGAGCAGATGAATGGTGTTGGTTAATGTAAACCTTCAACAGAGCCTTAAGGTGCAAAATATGCTAAAATTTTCTTAATTTTTTTTTTTAAACTTGTATATCTCTCAATGAACAGCTTGGGACTTTTACCATATATGATAAAACTTAAAAACTACTACCAACAGGTTTTTAAGGTAGTGGTTTTTATTATATAAGTGTAACAGGAGAGGAGAAAAATGTGATGGACCAGACCGGGATTCAAACCCAGGCCCTCTGAATCTCCAGTCAGGTGCTCTACCAACTGAGCTATCTGGCCACTGGCGATCAATCTTGTCTGAGAGACACATAAGTTAACATTCAATTTGTTTACATTTTCAATCACTGTTACACAAAGCTTTTCATAAACAATGTTTAAATATATTTTCCAATTTTTATAAAGATAGAGGACAATCATACAAATGCACCTCTCAGCTCTTCTTTCACTAAGGCTCCACAGGGAAAACTCACCAAAATGCCATTTAATAGACACATATTGACGGTGGGCCTTAAACCCCAAAATATCTAGTCCATACCCACCTTTGTAGACCCATTACACCTACCCTATGATTAGGAAGCTTAAAAGAGGGGATCATAAAGACTTTACCCAATGGTGCGATCGTCCGCTGTTGCCACTTCCCATAAATGTCCCATAATAGGTGCGTCTGCCCTGTTTACACATGATGATGATTATAACAAGTGTACAGGAAACTCTGAATACAGCATGCATAATGATTGGCTTATATGTCTAACCAATCATTAATGTTGTTATGAAAACTTCCAAAAGCAAAGGAATGGACTGAATGGACCATTCTTTTTGCCTGGAAACAGCCAGTGTTTGTGAGTGTGTGACAGAATAAGGAAAATATAAAACAGCAAGACAACAGAAAGGATTGGGATATCCAAACATGCTAAAAGCAAATACATTCAAACAGGCTAAGAAATATCAGTGGTACCTTGACAATCAGAGCAAAAATACTCTAGAGGTGTGTTTAGAGCAGTGATTGCTTGCCAATAAATGGTAGTGTTACTTTATGAATGATAACAAATCCTGTTTCCCTTCCCACTTATGAGCTAGTTTGACTATATTATAGAATGGCCTCCAATGTATTTATTGTTTTAATCACTTTATTTTTCATAAAAGGCAAGTGCTTCAATATTTTCTCTTCATATCACATGTAAATTTGGGCTTAGTTCAAATGCCTCCAAACACCTCTGGAGTATTTACTATCCATCAATAATATCAAGATGCCATTTTTTATTAAACTATTATTTGAACAAAAGCAAGTAAACAAAATCACAAGCAAGCACCCCAAAACAGTAACAGAGTTACTACTGAATCAGACACTATTGTAAGAGCTAGTAATTATAAGGGAACACAGGTATTTCTGTAACAAAAACGTAAACTGAAAATTTCCCAAATTTGTTTCCATGAATAGAACGACAAATCCCAAACAAGTACTGTGTATATAGATATTTTTTCAATATATGTGAACTTATCAGAGTTGTTTCCAGCTGGCTGCCACATTGGAGGTCAACATGCTCAGATTTCTTCATTATTTGAAAATTCACCGGGTTGACCTCCTGCATGGTGTTCAAGGGGAGTAACTCAGAGGGAAAATATGTCATACAAAAGCTATCAATTTGCAAATTAATGTATAGGCAACTGCCAGTATATTTTAGGAAGAAAAACTATTTGGTTGGTTTTGTTACAGAAATTCTGCACTAAACAGCTGAACAGACAAAACTGTGAATTGTTAATAAAAATAATATAACAAGTAAGCTACATATTAGCCCAAGTTAAAGGAATGTTCATCCATGTTCTTGACCATACCCTTGTACAAAATAGTCCTCAAACGTACTGTACTCCCATAGATGGGCCATGATAGGGGCGTCAGCCCTGTATATATAAATACAGTATTGTTTTGCATTAATTAATCAACAGATATTAACCCACTTAGATATACACAGGATGACCTGTAGGTAGCTAGAATTATGAAACCAGGTCTTGTTCATTTGTCAAAATCTGATATACAATGTCATATATATTTTATTTCATTTTTTTTAAAATTCAAAATTAATAATTTAATTCAAAAGGTTTATTCTTTTTTTAATGTTAGAATACACTGTAACAAAATGATTAGATGAAAAAAGAAAACTAAATATCCAATTATGATGTTACTTATCAATTATTACATGTATTATACAATAATTAGGGTATTAAAACCTTTTTTCTAAAGAATTGGTTAATGTACATGTTATATTTGAATATGTTCAATGAAAAGTATAAAATCCTAGCAAACGATAAATTCATCTAAATCATGCCATGTCCGCATATAAAATTACATTTTAGTGTCCATTTATTCTGGTCAATGTATCAATATAATTTTTAGTAACTATACAGTATTTACATATACCGGTATACATGTACCACTTTTGTATAAACTATGCAGTGTCTGATCAGTTTGAATTCATCTATGTATATGTACAAAGTTAAAACAAATTCCTGACCTTACTTTAATGCTAGGAAAAGATTTCTCTTTTTCAGATTATCTTAACTCAAAAGATAGTATTATGCAAAATGTTTCATTTTTCATTTAAATTGTACAATGTTATTAAACAACAGGCTAGCATGTCACACACCAAGTTTATTAAATAAGTTTGCTACGCGCATTGATGACGTTTTCCGTCCAAATTTTTCTTTGATACTTCGGTCAAAGAAAAAAATATTACATTCATTTCTTAAATCATGGAGAAAAAAAGATATCAACTGGGCACCAGAGCGACTCACTTGACTTAAAAAATTCTTCTCTGCCATTTTCTAAAGCTAATTGCTTCTTCCAGAGAAGGTAAAATATACAATAAACATTTTTGTATGATAATAACTGCTTCGTACATCTATTCTAATTCTTGAAACATTCAACATTTATTGTCATGTTTCAGGGATATCAAAAAAATCCCCCCGTTATTTTGTGCAATTGTCAGACATTCAAGATACATCAATATGCAGTGAAAAGCAGAATTGTGACCTAGCGGGGGATAAGCCAACCTGTTTTTGCTCAGTTCCAGACCAGAGGGCCTGTTGCTTTTGGTTCAGTTGACATTATCTGAAATCACTCACAGGTTGTCATGGATATGTCGGAAGATTAGGACAGCAGAAAAAGAGGAAACTGAAAATTGTTTGTCACACCCCACGCAAGCACACAACATAAACATTAGTTTGTGTGAACACATTTTCAATAACAAAATACATAATCATTCATATCAAACAAAATTAAAATTTTTACGTTATAAATAAACATTTCAAATACATATCATGTTATAGTCATATCAATTTCGAAATAACAGGAACATAGCGAGATGAAATTTATATATTTTTTTTTTTACATGTGTTTATAACCTAACACTGTAACTTCATTTTAATTTTTGTGTTCACAATGTTGAGTTCAAATCAATATTTTAATATAAATTTCACCTCACATAAAATTTTAAAATCTAAAATTCATAACACAAAAAAATTTAATTTCCATGAATTTGGCACAGTTAGATTTTTTTTTTTTTTTTTTTTGGCTTTAGTGCCAAAATCACATTAAAATTTATCAGCTTTCCTATAATAGCTTTCAAATACATTTTCTTTCCATGAAATGACTTTGAAATCAGATAAAAAATTCTTCAATAAAGATCCAATAAGTAATAAATCACCTTAACAGAAAGTACCTATTTTACTTATATAGCTGTTTCTTATTTAGTAATCATGGTAATGGTACATCTCCTGACAAGTAAATGTATTTGTTTTCAAGGAAAATATTAACTCACCAAGAATGTTCAGCATTGAATCCAACCTACAATTTGTTTGAGAACATTCAAAAATAAGCTTCAATGAAATACTACTTGTTTTCCTTTTGCAATCCCCACCCCAATCTGATCTGTCCCAACTCATACAAAATGCATCAGAAAATCAAATAAATGATTTTATACTGGAACTGCCTATAGAGATCAAACTAACATACATGTATTTACAAGTTTTTCTCAATAAACAGAACACTTCAATAACAGTCTCCTTCCCTTGAGATACATTTTCAACCTATTAGATACATGTAAATAACTCACTCTGCCATTGGAGGTGACAACCAGTGTGAAGGATTTGTCAAACCATCTGTCATATCCCTTCCCATGGAGCATGGCTCGTCCAAACTGGCTTAATTTGGAGGGATCTTTCTGTAATTATTTTAAATTTTGAGTAAAGACAGTCAGATTATGGTACATTTTTTTTGTTTACTATGACAATTTGAATGTCTAAATAAATTCAATGATTCAAGTTAATTTCAGCGGTTTCTTTAATTTTTCCTCCTTGGACTAAACATTATTATACATGTATAATAGTTAACTGTTTTACTATTTTATATGTACCTTGTATCTCTTTAGTTGTTATTTACAGCAGAGAGATTATTATACATGTACATGTAATTACATATTATAATGATACATTAGTGCATAAGCAGTGTACTAGATAGTTATACATTCAAAGTTTAATATATACACTGTATCAATAACTGGGAGGATTGACCCTCTCATGAACGATTAAACGATGACCATACTTCGCTTAATAAACTCATGTTTTGATAGGAAACTGTTCATTTAATCTTTATACAACATTTGGTCTTGAGGCATGATATTTATGAATATACATACATTTTTCTTATGTCTTTTGACATGCTACAGCATGAAAGTACAGTAAAATTCATCTCTTATATCATTTCTACATGAATAACAAATTCTACTACCTCTTCAGGAACCTCCCCATCTTCGGGTTTCATTTGGTATTTTATGGTTTGAGATTCAAAATCTCGCTAAAATTTGGTTCTTGGGATTACAAAAGCTATATAAATTGACATCCAAAATCAAAGTTTGTGAATCGACTATAATGTCACACCTATTAGAAAATTACCATTGCGGATTCTGAATTTTGTTGAAACTGATGTAGTCATTTCGTTTTTAGAGCCCTTTCTATCATATCTATTACCGGGTAGTAACCATAACCCCATACATCAAAACTTATAACAATATAGGGACAACTATATGATGGATCATCGAAAGAAAGGTGTAATTGGTTGCTGATTATCAAAATTACACACATAACTTTAAATTGCTATTTGGTTGATATTTTTTTTTCTTTCCATACATTGTCAAAGGCAGCTTTAAATGCTCAGTACATTTTTTTTCTTTTGCTTTTGTTTTTTCCCCCTTTCTTTTAAAAAATCATCAACAAAGCTCTTGTTATCATTATTTTGTGTTCATCCTATACATACATGTATGCCATGAATGAAACACTTGTAAAATCAACAAAGGAACTTACTGGATCATAACTCTGTGGTTCATCATCAAGAGTAACAAAAAAGGCTGCCTGTAAAAGATATTGATCATAGAATCATTTCACTTTTACATGTACAAAAGTTATAAGATAGATATTCAGTATGTTCAGCAGAGCTTGAAAAAAATTATTTCTGCAGTTGTCCAATCTTTTGAAGACTTTAGTTTTTCTTTCAGAGTTGCAGAATAAAACTGCAAAAAATTCTATTCCTTTGGTAATGCAGTTCCCATGGAATAACAAAAATTGCAAATGCAGAATCTAAAATAACAGCTTTGAAGGTTCGTATTGCAAAAATTTCAAGTCGCAGAATTTGCCCATTACAATATAACACAACAAACTAGGCATATGCAGCTGGTGTTTTTGTCAGTAACAAAATTTGACTGTGTTTATGAACTTTATACCTTTTCAACGGCATCCAGAGAAGCCCTGTTTTTGCCCTTTCTGAAATATTCTTCCCTAGCCTGGTACCATGGGACTCTGTCCCCAGCGGTCAGGGCTGCCAGGTGTTCCTCCCCAGGGGCAGGGGTAGAATCATCATCAAGAATCTGCTGGATTGACCTACAAATTAAAATATGCTGAATACATATATTTGAAATACTTCAAAATAGGTAAATAATGTTCAAGAAATGGATGTTAAATAAATGCAGAAAAAATCTTGCATTCAGAGAAATCTAAAACTTGAGATTGAAGTGGATGACTTTTCAGATTACAATGGCACATAGCTTCATTAAGTCTGTCAAAAAATCTGAAACCAAGCATATTTTATTTACTTCTCAATTTCTACAGGTTGCAGTAATTTTCCTCTGTAGTAGATGTATACTTTGTAGAATCGGCCTTTGTGATACACGGCGATGTGGTTACTGTCCTTATAATGTACTATCTTGTCTAAAAATACATGAAAAATCATATTCCTAATGCATGTTACAGTTTTTGTGCTTTTAATAGTAATTAAACATGTAATTTTTCTTTAAGATAAAAGACATGTGAAAATAAAATACCATAATATTGAAGTATCCTTTACAGCAGAGTATCAGTTTATTTTCTTATAGAGGATACTATCTTACAGTTAATCATCTTTTACAGCACATTCTCAGTTAATTGGTTTTCCTCAGGCTAGCTTTATATCACTGTGTTCAGTGCTTGCTTAGCTCACCTTTTTCCAGTCCTGGTAAACGAGTGGTTTGGAATTGACGTTCATACTGAGCTGAGCACAATGGAACCGTTTTGTTAAGTAGAATCTAGAAAACAAGTATGGGTGTACAACATTAATCATCTCCAAAAATCCTAGCAATTATAAATATTACTTTTCCAAACTTTCAAATTACATGTATATGGAATACTAAAGATAAAAAAATTATGCTATTGAGCAAACCAAGAGATCTTCAGCTGATATTTTTTTTAACTATTTGTACATACAGGGTTCAGTTCCTCACGTTCCAGCTCTCTCCTATATTGTAACATGGCATAGATAATATTGGCTGCTCTAGACGCCTGTTTGGTAGTAGGGTGGATGAAAACTGCATCCTGCCAAATATTTCATATCAATAGCTATACAAAGCAATTTACTCTTAGATAAAATCACATTCATATTCCTTTATGCCATTACATATTTTTGATATTTTGTAAAAATTCTGCTGAAGCACACCGTATCAAATATATATTCCATATCAACGGATTATCAATTTCTTTTCAATAAAATTGATTGATTTTTTTTCAATTTCTCTTTTTTAATCAATCCAGACATTCATGAACAAGCCCTTATTTTTCGTACCACTGCATAGAAGTTACTGTTGATCATGAGAGGAGATCTTCCGCTGAGGTAAACATAATCCTCCCACCAATCAGAGACATAGTTTGTGGCCCACCACGACTTCAACAATAGGTATCGCTGCAGTTTGTTTCCAATACCTTCCTTGAACTCTGTGGCTAATTTTTCCATCCTGGCATATTTTTCATCATCTAATAGTGGTCTGACAGATCTTAAGTACTGCAATTATGCAAGATATAATCTTCAATAAATTCTAGCTGTTTTCAATAAAAAGATTGCAAACAATCTCTAATAACTTGAAAACAATTTGTCTCCTTCTGTTCATTTTTCTCCTTTGGTAGAAATGGTTATTAAAACAAAAGATATACTGTATTTTCAATCTAAAAAGCAAACAGATGAGAATCTAGATACATATATTGTTAACTGCTTATCATGAAAAAATAATGAGTGTTGAAATTTTATTTTACTCTTCTCATGGTATCGTTGATGCTTGGTACTGATAATTTAGGTAAAGAGGTTTGGTAACTCATCAAGAGGGGTTTTCTTCCTCCCATTAACTTCACTAAGCCCTTAAAAACAGAAGAAATTTATCGTAATCAAAGATATTTTTAACAACTGTTGTTTACCTATTCATTGATATACATGTAACGTTTATATGATCAAATCTTAGACGGACCCTTCACTTCTTCATAATTTTTCCTTGTACAAATTTTCTCTAGAGTTTTAATAAATCTGAATTATATATTTATTTGTATTTATTATGTGAAATCTCAAATATTAAATTATCCCCAAAATTATTATATAATATTATCAAAATGTACGTATGTTTAACAACTTGAACATCAATGTCCCTACTTTTTTCTTCATAATCAAATACATTTTTTTGGTCAACTACAGTGTGACGTACTAGCCAAAGTTTGGTTTTCAGTGACATAGGTCCACGACTTTCATACATCCAGGTGTGGTAATTTAAAAGCAGGCGTAGAAAGTATTTCCAAATGAATGCCTTGGCCAGCCATACTAAGGTAGCAAACACTATACAGCTGCCATAATATGCAACAAGAGGCGGTGCAGTATTCAACCTAAATACACAAAAAAGTTTTAATATTACATTTATTCTAACAACAAGTGGGGGACCCAGTATTCAACCTAAATACAGGAACAAGTTTTAATGTTACAAATACTGATCATATAGACCTCCTGTCCTAAATTTTCGTAAGGGTCTTCAAATCTGCTTACTTGTATGAAATTTACTGTAGTTCACACACAGGTTACACAGATTGTTGCAATGATATCTTGCTTTCAAGTGTTTTATTAAAAATGTTTTCATACTCTCAATCAGATTTGTCATGTAACAGAAAATCACACCTCTCTAAAGTAACAAAAGTCTGCCTTACATGCTAAAGAAGGAATACACATGAACATTACAATCTACAACTGATATTTATCTACTGACCATGGCAGGTGGGTTTTTATCCATTTGATCAGTCCAAAAGATGGATCCACTCCCGCTAAGATGAAAGCTAGCACAAAAGTTAGAACAAACAGCCAGCTCATGGGGGTGGCAGGGTACACGCCATTCTTTATCTGGTTCTGGTTTTTGGAAATACATGTATAACATAAACGTTATTATACTGAAGATTTTGTTATTGATGTGACTGATGTCAAATTATTTCATGATTAATCAAAGACCAGTCACCATGCAAATAAAACAGTCTAGGTAAATTTTGTCAACTACATGAAATAAGATTTTTAAAATAATCTTATCGAAGATTTTTTTTACTGAAATTTTAAATGTTCATTTTGTTAAATTTTAACATCCTGGCAGATTATCCAATGGTAAAGCAAAATTCCTCTCAATGACTTATTTTCTCACAACTGATGTGATAAAAGTAATACCCTATCAGGGATTTACCTTGATTCTCCCGAGAGACTTTTTGATGGATCTCACACCACTTTTAAACACTGCCTTCAGTGCCTCGTGGTTGACGTCCACATTGACCCCTTCATGGGTGACGGAGAACGAGAACGCCACAGCGGAGTGGGCTTCAGCCATGTTGACAGGGAGGGAGCTCAGGAACTCTCACCTAAATGGAATTATATGGAATGGTATTATAATAGAATTATAATACATCATATTAAATATTCATTAGTAAAACAGAATCTGATTGGCTGTGGCTGTCCTGTAACAAGTCATTGTGTCCCATCCCTACAATATTTTCTTTTACTGAGAAAATCAAACTATTACTGTACAAACATATTTAATTTGTAACAGGAAGGGAGAAAAATGTGATGGACCAGACTGGGATTCGAACCCGGGACTCCTGAATCTCCAGTCAAGTGCTCTACAAACTGAGCTATCTGGCCACTGGTGATCAATTTGCAGAGAACATTCTGGGACTAATTTCTGAATTCAACATAAATATTCAAGTATATATTTCTTCAACATTGCCACAACATACGGTGAACTAAAGCTGTTTTAGCACATGCAGACTTTAAATTTATGAAATGGTATTGATTATGATATGGAAAATTTTCTATATCCAATAAAACTTTTAAATTAGACATTCTAAAACCATTTAAAATATATCATTGCAAATAAAAGAAATAAAACTAATTCAAATGAACCTACCTATATGAATTAAAGGGCAGTTGTCATAATAAACAAACTGACAAATCAATATACCAGTGTATGTAAAATGGGGAAGCAGTTTTTAAATCCTCTAAACAAAAAAGGAATTCACAAGAAATTATTTCAACAAGTCCTCAAATAAATTTTCCACTTAACTGCGTATCCTGAAACTGTTAAATAAGAGATCAAATCTCAGATGGATATATATATATATATATATATATTTTTAAAAAACTACCCATGCAACCATGTCACTCTAATTCTCTGACCTATTTCAAACACTGCAATGTCAATTTAAAAAAGAAAGCCGAAATCTAAATGTCTCAAGTACCTATGGTTAGAAAAGCATGATTATAAATCAAAATCAAAATGAATGTCAGTATCAAAAACAAGTGGAAATTGATGGGAATATTAATGACTACTGAACCAGGATTATTTCCACTTCGAACAGCTCCTCTTGAAAATATAGCATATATACATGCATGTGAATCAATATATATATATGTTTCTTATCTGAAGTTTCTGCCTGGTCACCCTGACTCATGATCAGAGTATAACATACTAGTAATAAATTATTAACTTTTCTCTTCAAAAGCTTTCTTCTGACAGAACGTTTAAATAATTTAGTGCTGATGTCTAAGGAAGACAAATTTATGCATTTATAAAAACTCTCGGCATTTAAAAAAAAAAATAAAAAAAAAATATGTTCTTTATTTCAGATCTTGAGATACATGTTGATCAATATTAAACTAAGATATAATTTTGCCATAAGCTGGGATACAAGAAAAAGTTTTCAAATTTCTAAATTATAGTGAAGCTGACTGATGCATTGTTTAAAATTAAGGAAACATTTCATCATTTCATTTATTTTTAATTTCATTTATTTTTTGCTTTCCTGATACAAATAATTAATGAAGTGATTATACATCAAATACTGTTTCATAAACTGTCGTTTTGTAGACAAACCACCTCCTCCCCAGGAGATAAAAAACATCAAAAAACATAAAGTTCAAGCAATGAGGCTCTTACGCTGGAGCTTATTCACTGTTTCTGTGGTGCTAAGTGGATGACAGTCAGTGACTCCACCATTATTGCTACCCATTTCCACTGGTTGGACTGAGACAAGGTGGACGAAGCCCCTTGTATAAGATCACAAAACATACATTGTACCCTCATTGGGACTTGAAACAGCAAAGTCTGGGTTACAGGCCAGATTTCTATGACCACTGATTTATGTGCTCCACAACATCCCCCCCTCCCCCTGGGAAAAGGAAAATGGACAAATATGCTGGTAACATATAAGAGATGACCTTTAACTAACTGTTCAACTAATTCATCAAATTTTTGGTAAAATTAACAGGGAAATTGAAGCAATATTTTTACAGAATGAATCAGATTTTTTTTTTTTTTTAAAAATCCACAGATTCAGAAGTGGTGAAAATTGCATTATTAAAAGTTTCTATCCATGCACATGTGTACATTTGACAGAGATAGAAAATGTTTAAATTATATTATTTCTTTCAAAATATAATGAATAAAAATATTTTAAAAATACACAAAATATTTATTGATTAAATAATCAAAATAATCCATTCATTTATCAAAGAACTATTATCATGTACATTGTTTTCTCTCGATACAAAAGAACAGAAGGCAACCTTGTGATTACAGTTGATTCAGAATTTCAGTGCTTACATGTCTGTTCATGGTTGACACAATGGTCAAAAGATTTTCACTTGTGACCAACCTCATGGTGCTTGTTAAAGGTGTACCAACACACAGCACTACACTAGTTGATAAGTAGGTCATAGGGTAAACAGCTGATCAGCATGACATAAAACACAGGCTTTGTTAAGCTTGACTGCCTATTGAGGTAAACATTTTTCATCCATGGAAAATTTAAATATACATCTATGTCTATACTTCCATTTAGTACGTGGATATAGCATAACAGAGTGTGCACTTATTTGTCATTAAAATATATTTTGTAGATACATAGAATTTCTTCTACCGGTACATCTTCCTGATATCTGCCTATCAAAGGCAGGATTCATGGTAATTCGTTAGATTTTCAAGCATCAAGTCCAAAACTTTTTTATGAAACAAAAAGGTATTTAATATCTTCCTTAAAATCAATAATTGGAGGAAGATTAAAGATCAAAATGAAGACAGATGAAATTTTAATCAGTGAAAATGGAACTGAATATATATAAATAATATTAAGAATTAAATAATATTAATTTTAAATAAACTAAAGCATACATACTGTGACTGTCTTGGGACAATCCAAGTCTGAGTTCACGAAGATTGCTATTTATGTTTCTTTATAATAAACTTCATATATATACAATGGCTCCAATTGCATGCCAACTGATTAACATTGACTTAGAGCACTGAAAAGCCTGAGTCCAAAGTCCATACATTACCACCTGTGGGGCCCCTTACAGGATCATGCAGGTAATTTAAATTCAGGATAACGTGACATCACCAATGAAATAGTACAATATATTTCTTTAACTTAAAAAAGTAGCAAAACTTAGAATATCTAAACATATATATTGGAGGGGAAAAAATCTGTGTTTTAGTGTCTGTATATTTTTTGGTTCCCTTAAGCACATGAAGTTATCAATGACTTTTAACTACAAGATGAAATATATCTATACTGCAGTTCCAAAATCTTAATGGATCATTACAATATAAGGCTAATGAACTCATAATTTAATCAATAACATATTGATACTGACATTTGAAATGTTGACCATTTTCTTCTTTAATTAAATTAACTTATTCAATTTTCTAGTTTGTTAGAAAAAACCTGTACAACATTCTTAATAGTAGTGTGCTCAAGTTTATACTTAAAAGTTACCTTAAAAATCCCCTAACAGATGATTAATACAAATATTGATTTGTTTGTTTATATGAAATACCTCACTCCAATGCAGAAATGTGATTAACATACTTAAGTTGTGTAACTTGCTTGTACTAGTACCTGGAAGTGAAATATTACCACAGATTTAGCTGAGCTTAATTTAGAAAATTATGAAAAGGATTCCTTTAATACATGTACATGTACTGTGTAATATGGAGTAACTATGCACTCCAAGTATAAAATTATCATATGTTTATATATATACCTTTTGTCACAATAGTCACATACGAGAAAAGTGCAGAAAATTGAAGAAAGGATAGAAGAAACCATCTTCAAAACCTCTTACAAAATAGTTTAGGCAATACACGATACTCTTTAGAGTTATTAATAAAATTTATGTAAAAAATAGCCAACATCGGAAACCTAGCTGCAGAACTGTAGCTCTCTGGTTGAGAAAATTTGGACAGATAAACCAGAGAGCTACAGACCCAAGCATTGTAAAAACCTTCGATTTATGCCGCCGCTTTTTTGTCGCTCGCTTTGGGTATTATTTTTTGTATTTTATGCATTCCACCGCTTCAAACATGGTATCCGAAAATAGATTATATATATTTTACTCACATTCCTGAAACTTTATTTACCTTTCAACAGTTCCAAACTGCCGTATGTGGTCTTGGAGTATCAGTTTAAAAAAAATTGCATTCCGAGCTCCATGTTGGTGTAATGCTAAAATAACATGCCCAACCGGTTTTCTTTATCTCATTTTTTTACATACATATTGTTTTCTTTACATACAGGTGAACACACATGTTATTTGAACCTCCATATATTTTTATTCACATTTTCTGGGCAAATGGATGTTTTTAAAATCTTTTTTTTTTTCGCATGACTCCCAACATGGACATTAGGATAGGATTTTTTAGAATGATGTTCTAAGACCACATAGGGCCATTTGGAACCATTGAAAGGTAAATAAAATATTAAGAATGGGAGTATAATATATGATTAATTTTTCGGATACCATTTGTGAATTGGGGGAATGCATAAAATACAAGAAATGATATCCAAAGCAAGTGACAAAAATGCGGCGTTGTAAATCGAAGGTTTTTTTCAATGCTTGGATCTGTAGCTCTCTGGTTTATCTATCTGAATTTTCTCAACCAGAGAGCTACAGTTCTGCAGCTATTGGAAACCCAGAGTTTGTCTTGCTTTAGAAGCCAGACTGACCGTGGGTTTTCCAATGAAAAATTAGCAAGTATAAAAGATTTTTGTTCCTTTCAAATTGGGGCTTAAATGCAGTTACAGTTCTATAACAAAATAAAAACTAGATGCTGTAATGAGACAGTAATACTCGCACTAAGGTGTTTGCCTCTAAATGCACACTCCTTCATATTGGGCTTACCAAGGAAAAAGTCCAAATAATTCTATAATTTACACAGTACATATATTCGTCAAATCGAGCATAAAATGCTCAGGTGACCATGTGATCCATGAACCTCTTATACGCATTTCATATACTTAATTCATTACCAGTCTAAAATTATAACAGAATTTAATTAATGATGTAAATTAGGTTTTGATAAAGG